ACGCCCCGGAAAACGCACTTAGTTCGTTTTTTTCACACTCCGAGGATTCCAGGCAGTACAGCAGCTGTACAGGCCGCTTCACTGTAGTTCCGTCAGGCACTCTCTCAACCAACGTTGCCAAAAGCTCTCTTCATGACTTCTTGTCTGTGTTTCCAGAGCTTCCGTAGCATCTCAGCTTCGACGTCCTTTAGGTTCGGAACTGTCGGGTTTGGTAACGACGTCAGTCACTTGCCAACAAGAAAGCATGATGGGAACAGAGGCTGAGGCTCTTGACTTTCGTTGTAGGTGAAAGTCGGTGGTCTCGAATTAATGACATCCTCTATCTCGCTAAGCAGGGTTCCAAGTTCTTCCTCGATCAAGAGTCTTTGGCCGATGACCTTTTTCAGTGGTGTCTTGATTGACCGCACGAAACGCTCGTGGAACCCGCCCCACCATTGCACACGCTCCGCAATAAAATTCCAGTGGATTCTGTTGTTGCTGATGTGATCCTTAAACTCTTCGTTGCGAAGCATGTCTTTCATTTGAATCAGTTTGAGTGATAGCTCTCGTTTCTCCTGGTTCGTTTTCTCTAGCTCTTTGCGAGCGCTTACTTTTTCGGCTTGTAGTCTGCTGAGCTCGTCAATCATTTCTTTCTCTTTTTGCTGGCCTGTGTGTTGTGCTTCGCACAACTTGCACTCAAGTTTCTTGACGGTCTCTGACAGCGTGTCGCTCCTTGCTTCCGGCACCTCCTTCTCTTGCTTGACATCCTCTGTGCACTGAAACGAGTTGGTCAGCCGCTCCGACAGTTTGGCCTTTTCGGCTTCTGCCACACCAAATTGCACTTTCATGAAAGTGCATGCATCTTGCAGTTTGCCCATTGCAGCTTGAGAGCTCTTGAGGTCTGCGGTGACGGTACTCAGCGAGAGTTCTAGCTGTTTGTGCTCCATCTTGGGCCTTTTGCAGTCCATCCTCAACTTCCTTGAGTGTCTTGTTGACAGAGTCTTTCTCGGCCTTCATTGTTTCCAAGCAGCTTCTAAGGTCCATCAACTCTGTCTGCAACCTCGAAGATGTCTGTGTACTTGCCCCCAAGCTCTCTTGAAGAGAAGTAATCTCTAAATCCGTTTTTTGAACAGCCGTGCTCAACTGCTCCCGCGACGTCTAGAGATCCTGCTCTTCGTCCTGTAGCTGCTGTATCAGCCCAGCAATATGAGCCTCAGCGGCTGCTTTCCTTTTTGCACATTTTCGCGTGGTTTCTTTCCTTTGAGTGCACTTTGAATCGAGAGCATGTTGAACACTCTCCAGCAGCTGGCACTTCTCTTCCAGCTGCGACTGCAATACAGACACCTCTTTTTCGAGATCACTGTTTTGCTCGAGCAACATCTTGAACTTCACTTCCGTCTTCTTCTTTGAAGTCGAGAGAGCTTTCTTAAGCCGACCCACGGCGTCGTGAGCTTCTGTGAGGGCCGCCTTTTCTTGTGCCGTTGCTGACTTGGCTTCTCAGCTCCAAACCGTAGCTGTTTGCAGCAGCACCGTCGTCTTTGCCTCATCAGTGACAGCGGCTTGAAGTGTCACGGGACTGGTGGAGACTTTACCCTTCCGTGGTGTCTCCGGTTTGTCACTTGATCTCGAGAGGAATCCAAGATCACACATAACGGTGGCGTGTCGACCTTGGCACTCAGAACATGCGATCTTGCTTCTGCACTTCTTGGCGAGATGGTTTTGTTTTCTACATTTAAAGCATCGTCGAGCCTTCTGAAAAATCTGTCGTTTTTCAGTGAGAGACATGTTTTCACTGCACACCTCGGTGTCATAGTTTGGCGACTTGCAAAATGCACACTCCTGGTAGGAGTGCTGCTGCCGTCCCTCTGTTTGTCCACGGCCTCGCAGGTTCTTTTGATGTAGCAAACATAAACTGTTTTTTTTTTCTGAACTGTCTTTAAGGCGATAATCTGTTTTCTTTGCGCAGGAAGTCCTCTATCTGCTTTCTACTTCTGCGCGCAGAAACCTCAGAAGAATCAGCTGTTGTCTCTGTTGACCTCGGTCTTGGTCACTGTTTTTACTCAACAGGGCAGCAGATTGGGTGCTCAGTCGTCGGTGCTCCTTGTCGCGTACAGCAGTTCTATGGTAGGCAAGAACAAGGTCTTTCGGAAGCAGCCAAAGTATTGATGGGTGCAGAAGTGTAGAAAAGGTTTCTTCGCTCACCCCAAGAGACCTGAGCCCATGGTTGTTTCCTTGTAGGTTGTCGTGCAGTTGCCTGAGCCCTTGGACATCGAGCGATGATCGGATCCACTGTCTATCCTACAGCCTGATCATGTGATTGTCGATCAACCGTTTTTCATCACCAAACCGGGTTCTGAGGATGTCCCGGGCGTCCTCGTAGCAGCTCGGTGTCGCTGATAGCCCTGCAATCGCCGCAGAGGTTTCTGCATAAAGGGCAGCTCTCAAGTAGTTGAACTTGTCGGTTGGCGATAACTCTCGGTTAGTGTGGACCACCTGTTCAAACTGCTCCCAGAAGAGCTGCCACTGTAGGCTATCTCCGTTGAACCTCAAAAGCTTCAGCTTGGGGAGCTTCACTTTCGCAGATGACCCAGAGGACTTGTTACTGCTCCGGCTCATTTGATCAAAGGTCGTGGCACTGTCTGCACTTGCGATGGTAATCTTGAAGCTCAGGCGAGCAGAGTAAGCGACGACACGGTCGTCGTACTTAATAGTCCGCGCATACTCCTGTTTCGCTTCTTCATCTGTCAGCAGTGGCTCAATGCCAGCGTTCGTTTCGTTCAGTTGGCCATGTAGGGTATTGAGACGAGCGAGAAGAATCCGGAGCTCCTCTTCAACAAGAACTTTGCGTTCCACAGCCACATCGATCTCCGAAAGTACTTTGGTGACTTGCGAGCGTTGGATCTTCCGCTTCTGTTTGATTCTCTCCATCACGGCATTGTTAGGCCCCGCTGTCTTGCTTCCCCGATGTCGAGACTTGAAGCTCTGTTAAATCAATCATCAGAATCACCGTCCAGTCTGGTGAAGGAAATTCCCGGGTTTCGGCACCAAAGGTTGACTAATCTTTTTTGGTCTGAGGTCGATGCTTCGATCTAATAAATCAAACTAATTTAATTGTTTGACATTGGGTACAGAATTCTCAACGTGATTCGGGAACCTCTCATCTTCCTTCTTCTTTTCGCAGTCCACATCTCGTGATCAAGCGGCCGAGGTCGTGCAGCTCTGGTCGCGTGCTTGCTCCCTTTTTCCAGTGTCTTCGCGCGCTCTGACCAGTTCCAACAGAGACTGTTTTGGAAGTTTCTATACTATAGTTTTGTTAGAAACGCAAGTGTGAACTTGCTTTCTGCATTTTCATGCTCTTTTGTTATGAACAGCTACAGAATCTTCAACCTATCATAAAATATGTATTGTCTGAGCTATTAGCCTTTCCCAAGCTTGGCAATTCTGTAAATTGGACATTGAATGCCCGATTTAACCGGAAAAGTGCCCATGCCTAGATTAACCCAGTTTTCAATGAAGGTGAGGTGGGCACTTTCCCGGTATTTATTGCATGCAAAAGTTTTCGTTTTATAAAAACATTTGTTGTTACTGTAATTTTTCTCTACAGCAGCATGACATAGGTGTTATACGGTACATCTCACCATGAGAACCGGCCAGTATCATTACCTTTTCGAAACTTGTTTTCCTCGGGGGATGCTGTGTTTATATAGCATCATTTAATGTAACTTTTTGGAGGATTAATCTATAAGCTTTCAACTTTCCATGGTAGCCTTTGTTGCGGTGTTGAATATGCTCTGCAAATTTCATGCAAATCAGTCTTACGGTAAAAAAGTTTGCCTTTTGGAGTAGTGTCCTGTCCTTGACGGAGCAGAACACCATACGGAGCGCAATTAAGCTCTTCTGCTTCTTGCGCTAGGGTTGCGGTGACGTCACAATGCCGAGCTTTGGTTGGCTCTGATTGGAAGGAGAGTGGGTAGACCCCATTGCTAGCTGCATGACTGGCTGCCTTGAGGTCTACCCACTATCCTTCCCATTAGAGCCAATCAGAGCTGGGCTTTCTGACATCACCGCGACCCCTGTGCAAGAAGCAGACGAACTTGCTCTCTGTATTGTTTGAGCTTAAAGCTCAGGAGGCCACGCTTCTAATTGTAATGACCACCAGTTGCACCCACCCTGCACTTGACAACAAGATGGTGGCACCCACAAAACAATTGGAGAATGGAGTGTTTCTTAAGCATATATCTAGTGGGTCTAGAGGAGATCATTGCAACCGACTGCCTCGTGCTCGCTTCTGACGAGAAAGTACATCGGTGCCATCCAATGTTGCCAGTATAGAGGTTTTCCCCTCTAAATTTAGTGGTTTCTTCCGAGTTGTCTAGCGGGGCAAATTGCAACTTGCTGTTGGCGGGGTTTTTCGCAGTTTTCGAGTCGTGCTAGTGCGTTTCCTGGCGGTCCAAAGATGTCCTCTAATTTTCATTTATCGGTCGTACATTGCTTAATTTCTGTGGCAAGTTAGAGTCCTGGTGTCATTATTTTTACTTACTCTCAACAAAACTCTCGGAGAGAAGAACGCTCTCGACGCCATCAAGATATCAACGGGACAAACGTCGAAATGGGGTGTCAGAAGGGTCATTCTTGGCCAGCGCCTTAAAATTTAGCATCATTTTGAGATTCCTTTAGCGAATCTTTGATTTTCGAGTTGGCAACGCCGGTACCACCTGTCGGGTAGGCGTAGAACACCTGGGTCTGGCTCGAGAAAACTTCCGACGACATTACAAACGACCGTTTCTCATAAATGGTGCTTACATTCGACCTCGCAGACACCGCAAAACCTTCGCTCTACTAGTGAAAGGTAACCTCATGGACGGCACCGGCGTGCCAGTGTTCTTTCTCGTTGTAAAAGGTTGCGAGGACTCGGTCGTAATAAATCGCGAGAACTCAGCCGTAAGCAAGTGCAGGTGTGCAAACCGACCTGTATCGGCTCTTGACTAAATTCCGGAGTACCTCTCCCTGAACTCTTGCAGAAGTGCTACAGCTGCTGCGTCAGAATGCCCTGGTGGGGCCTGAGCTCCCTCCGGAGGCCACCGAGCCCAGGGTCCGTGTGGAGGTGCTGCTCCTGAGCAGGGAACACCCGGGCTGTGCGCTGCTGGGAATGGGGACCCACTGCGCCCTCGGCAGGGGCCTCTACCAGCCACCCGCTGACTTCATTCACTTTGGGTGGGTGGAGCGAGAGTCTGCGACGTACGCGGGACACTGGAATATCTCGCGAGATGCTGGAAGATCTCACGAGACGCTGGAAGATCTCACGAGACGCTGGAAGATCTCGCGAGACTCTAGGTCTCGCGAGATGCTGCAAGATCCCGCGAGATGCTGCAAGATCTCGCGAGATGCTGCAAGATCTTGCGAGATGCTGGAAGATCTCGCGAAATGCTGGAAGTTCTCGCGGGATGCTTGAAGATCTCACGAGACGCTGGAAGATCTCACGAGACGCTGGAAGATCTCGCGAGACTCTAGGTCTCGCGAGATGCTGCAAGATCCCGCGAGATGCTGCAAGATCTCGCGAGATGCTGCAAGATCTTGCGAGATGCTGGAAGATCTCGCGAAATGCTGGAAGTTCTCGCGGGATGCTGGAAGATCTCACGAGACGCTGGAAGATCTCACGAGACGCTGGAAGATCTCGCGAGACTCTAGGTCTCGCGAGATGCTGCAAGATCCCGCGAGATGCTGCAAGATCTCGCGAGATGCTGCAAGATCTTGCGAGATGCTGGAAGATCTCGCGAAATGCTGGAAGTTCTCGCGGGATGCTTGAAGATCTCACGAGACGCTAGAAGGTCTCACGAGATGCTGCAAGATCTCGCGAGATGCTGCAAGATCTTGCGAGATGCTGAAAGACCTCACGAGATGCTGCAAGGCCTCACAAAATGCTGTAAATTATCACGAGATGCTGGAAAATTTAGCAACATAACTGGAAAATCAATAGAGACGCTGGGCAATATATCAGTACCGGAAATTCTCACGAGGTACTGTAAATTTTAATAATATATTAGAAAGACTGACGAGAAATGGGGAAATCAGACAAAGTACTTCAAAATACTGGGATGGAGGAGAAAAACTTTTATGAAAGACCAGAAATGTGACAAGATAGGTGGATCTTGCGAGGTACCTCATAATCTTGCAAAATGCTGAAGATCTCGCGAGATAAGAAAATGTCGCAAGATTGTGTCATGAAAATCTTGCGGGATAGAGAAGATTTTACGGGTTGCCAAACGATCCTGCAAGATACTCGATATCTGGCGAGGTAAAGCGTCAAGAGGTAATGAAAAGCTGACGAGATACAGACAATCTTGAGAGATGCAAAAAATCTCACGAGATGTTGCGAACATCACACAAGGCTTAAAATCTCATGAGATGTAAAAAATCTTATGAGGTAGTGGAAATCGTATAAGATACAGAAAACCTTACGAGATACTGAAAATTTGATAAGACAGAAAATGTCATCGGTTGGAGGGGGAAAACCTCACACTGATCCCAGAATCTCTCAAGATAGAGCAGGCCTTACGAGATGTGGAATCTCTTGTGAGGTACTGAAATATGAGGAAAAATAAATTGTGAAAATTCCTTGAGATACTTTAAATTTTATGAGATAAGAAAGTATCAAGGAGTAAATTAATAAAAAGTTGACAAGAAAAAAATCCTGAAATCGCTGCTCTGATTCTCGACAAAATACACTAGCATTTAGCACAGGGTTTTTGACTGTGAAGGATGGGAATTCCAACCTCGCAACGGTCTGCATACTGTCGTCTTCAAAGAGTCAATCTTTCCTCGTGGGCGTCATTGCTGCGCCTCGCTCTTACGTTGTCACCTGACCATCCATCTTCTTCCGTGGTATATCATAGGAAGCGTGCCATAAGACTCTTTCCCTCTTGTAAGAAGGAAAGCGAACATAACGAATGAGTGGAGCGAAAGGGCTGTCCAGTGCAGTCCAAACCACGACCGTATAAGCGAAAGACAGCCGCATGCAATGTGGCAATGGATGCCAACATGTTTAATATGAAGGAGAGCACTATCTCAGTTACAGAGGCGTCATTGGGTCGTCGGCCGCCACGCAGGGAATCGTGGGAGGCAGCGGCGGCGCGTGCCACGCAGCAGGAGACTGGGCTGCCGATCCAGGAGCCCCAGGTGTGCTCGGTGGTGGAAACGCTGCGGCCACAGGACCAGTTTCACTGTATCAGCATCTTCATGGCCGCCCACGTGGCCTGCCCCGACCCCCAGCCCAGCCCTCCCGAACAGGCCACGTGCGCAAGTATGCAATCGGTTTGCTCTTTAACGGCGACTGCTGTTCTTAAGGGCTATCCGAACAGGACGTGTTTTTTCAGCAGTTGCCATACTGGAAGTTTTCCTTCAGTTCCAGTTGGCTTTGGGCCAGGGTGGAGAATAAAAATCAGTATGATTTGAATTGCACTGCTATAATAATTTAAATCAAACTCATTTCCCCAAAATAATACGGATTTTCTTTTTTTTATATTTACCGTTTTTCTATTAGTGTTTGGTTCCCATAAACATTTATTTTGTATTTAAAGCAAAAAAAAAAAATAATAATTATTAGGCAGGAAAAACTTAGTTTGGGCAGCCATTAAAAAAAAATTTTATCTAGTGGTAAAAAAAATATTCTTTTCTAGCTGAAGTGATTTGATATCGTGCAAGTTTGATTTAAATCAAATAAATGCGATTTATAATTCTAGTTAGTTCATTTCTTTTTAAATCATTCTTTTTTCTTCACCCTGGCTTTTGGGTTTTTTTGTTTTTTTTGTTGTTTTTTTTTTGCCGGGGGGAAAGCTTCCTTTCGCTTGCGTCCTTGAACGGCGACTTGGAGTGTGCTCGTCACGTGTGTCCGGACAGCCAATCGCACGCTCTGCTGGCAGTTGTCGTCGGTCCCCGACCTCCCAAAGGCAAGAAAGGGGCGGAGACAACAGCGAGGAGGCAAGCCACGCTGTTTGCGTAGCCAACATTGTCACCGAAAACTTACGCTCGTGCTGCAGATTTCACGTTTTTCGAGAAAGTCGCTCGATTTGATCGCTGCACACGGCGTCTGCTGTGTTTTATTTTGACAGCCCCCTGTGGGAACTTCTTATCCACATTCGCGGTGTCGACGTTGTGCCAAGCAAAAAGCTCCATTTCACGTGCGCCGCCCCGTGACGTTGGGCAAAGTGCGTGCTCTTGGCTCTTGCTAGGCAGCAGAGTCTAGTTCTGTGGTTGGCAGGGGATGCCGCTACACATTCATCACCCTAGAGCTTGATTTGCCCGTACTAGCGGTGTAGAGCAACCCGCCACTTGTAACTGTATCTGTCTCGACTTAGTTTTGGGCAGAACCGCTCGCTCATCTGTGCGGTGTTCCTTTTCCTACATAATTCAGTGACCACGAGGCTGTGTTGTGTGTAAACGAGTAAACGAGGAGCAGATCTGTGTAAAAATGCGTTTTTACTATGCACTGGCAGGAAAAAGGGAAATGTTTGTGTCATCTTGTTCGTTCTTTTATTTATCCCCATCTCTGGGATTAGATAATGATGTCTCCTTGTCTCGGCGGTTTGGAGTCTGGTTGACGCTTCTGCTCAGAAATCGCACCACGTGGAGCGAAAACTTGAAAGCTTCTTCGAGATGAACGTCCTGAAGCAGATCCGACAAATCTGAGCAGGGGTGGTGCCACCTGGGAGTAGCAGTATCAACCAGATGGTTTGTTTGTCTTTCTCCCTGTGCATAGAAATAAAATGCTTTTTTTTTTCTTTGTTGAATTTTTTCAGAGAAATTTACACTCAGGAAATTTGAGTGCACATATAAAGGCACTACCTAGTGACACCCTTGTGAAAACTTTTATAGAACGCTGTTCATTGGCTTATGTGTATAATATTTTTTTTTTAACTGTATAAGGCAGGTTCAATCTAAGGCACATTCCTGCTGGAGAAATCAGGGTTTGCCTTCAATCAAGCACGTCAGACCAACGTCCTGCAAGTTCAGTTTCACGACGCTTTGTATGTCCTATAGTCGATGACGGGTTAAAGGGATACTGCGACGAAATTGTAGCGCCTATTGTCTAAATGTCAACCACGTCCTGACCACACCACGGAGATACCAATTTTTTGCTAGAAAAGACACCAAAACATTTTTTAAGAGGAATAAACTGTATGTCGTTACGTCACTATGCACTTAAAAGCAGCGCCGCTTCGCAGAAGTAGGGGGGCAAGCTGCGTGCGTGCGAGACCCGTCGAACCGGATTTCCCTTCTCTCCCTGCCTATTCAACTCTTGTGAGGATTGGGAAGGGGCAACTAGGTTGTAATGCGTTGACGACGCCGAGTGGCGGGGCTCGTAACCACGCCAGCCCCTAAGCAGTTTTGCCCGTGCCGGACCAATGGATGTCACATCTGCGACGTCGATTGATCCAGCTCCCGTGATGTATTGCACTCTTCGACGGCGGATGTTGGAGCACTCGCTGGAATCGGTCTTTGGAACAAAAAAATATAGCCATCCATTCAAAATACAGGCGTGCGATTGTCCTTAGCAGATTGAGTTGATCACATTTAACTAATTTCTGAATGCAAAAGGTACATTTTAAGTTTAGATTCAGTATCCCTTTAAGGGTTTGGGGGAAAGCTCCTCTCACCTCTTTCCACTTTAGCTGAGCTAACGCTGGAGAGCAGGTTACCTCCTCTCTAGCATTCGCTCTGCTAAAGTGGAAAGGGGCAGGAGGAGTTCGCCCTGTCACCGACCATAGACACTTTAGATGTGTGTTCCTTTCATGGCAGTGATCGGCTTCGGGAAAAAGCAGGAACTCAGCATCTGGAAAGTAAGGAAGAAGTTCAAGCCGAACAACCCTCTTCTTGGTCAAAAATGACCACAATTAATGCTAAATGGGAAGGGGCGTTGTCATAAAGTAGATGCCAGAAACCGTACAAAATGATGTCGTGCACTTCGCTACATAAACCAGAAAACATGTCCGAACAGAATCGGCCTTTGCTAGAAGACAACAGCCCAATCGGCGAACGAACCGCATTCCGTCACATTGCCATCTGTGCTGAGGCCTATGTTACGAGTCTGAAAGTTTTAGCATTGATCAGAGGTCTTCGGGTAGCCGTACCGTATTTGAGGTAAGCAGAAGCCAATGCTTATGCTATATTCACATCTCCAGCTCGTTGCTCGCCCTCCCGCGGCGGAAACGGGAGGCGCTCTTGTGAGGGTGCCCCGGTTTTTCTGCTCAGCAAGCACCGGCAGAACTGCTCATGATCATGGCTCGCAAAAGGTCATTTCCCAACGCAAACAACATTCTTCACTATCCTGATGTAATGCTGCAGTTGGTATGGGATTGTACCTTATTAGACAGTTTTAGTATTGCGTATAGAAGCAAACGCAAGCGCTGTGCATTTGTGTTAAGGCCCGTTTTCACTCTTGCGACCGAGTACGACTGAGAGAGACGAGATCTCTTAAAACTTCTTAAATGTTTTTAGAATGACGGAACACTCTGGCATTGTGGCGCCATCTATGCGGTGACCCTGGAACTGCATTTCACAAGAGCGAAGGTTTTGCGGGATTTCCGAGGTCAAATGTGCGTAATACGCATAGAAAGGCTCGTTTATAACATTGACAAAAGTTTTTCGAGCCAAGAAAGAAAGGATAATGCGCAAGAAATAAAAAAATATGCCGGACCGCCGAGTTTACACTGCTTCCCAATAGATGGCGCCAGTGTGTTCTCCGGTTTAAGAAGTTTTAAGCAACCCAGGTTTAAGAGGTCGCAAGAGTGTGAACGGGCCTTTAGAGTTGCGTGTTCCACGCTGCACATTCGCATCGTCGCCATGCTCCAATCCAAGACTGCAATTTTGGGCACGCGCAGTGTGGAACTGTCTTTAAAGGGACACTGAACTCTCCAAAATATTTTAAAAGTGCCTGGATCGTACACGTATGTCACAAAATAGTTTCTGCGAACAACTTCTTTAGTACTAAAGTTATGGAGAGCGCATTGGGTAATGATTAATACATCAGAAGGAATAAACAAAAGGAGAGACAAGACGGATAAAGACTTTTTTTAGCTCAATAATTACATTGTCAGGCACATCTTGAGTTATGAAAGGATCTGAAATAGAGGTTATTTTCGTTCCAGAATTAAGATATGCATCCTGGCATAAATATTACCCTAAACACCATTTTTGTTCTCAGGATAAAGAGATGAACTGTGCGCATAACAGCCGATCTTCCTTGTACAAGCAGGAAATGATTTGTGTCGCTCGGTGAAGCCATCATGCTAGACAGGCTAAACAACTGGTATACTGGCACACATCTCCGACCCTCACTCTAACCGCCATTTCGGAAAGCGAGTGGCACCACCTATAGTGAATTGGAGACGTGAATAGCACTCGGTTTTCTGACATTACGAACTTCATTTTCCTGTACTTTCTATCGTCTATAACGAGGAGAAGGAAGTTACAAAACACAGTTCTGTATTCCTGTCTGCTTGTCATCGACAGCCACATTCTGGCTTAGCACAAGCTTCCGGCAACTTGTGGTCAATATTGTAGTCCGAAAAGTGTGTTTTTTTACTTGACACACTACACACACCTACAGCATGTAAACTAACACTTTTAAGGCACTTTTGATGGCCTGCAAAAGTCGGTTTCTTAACGTATAGTGCTGCGACTTACTACAGGCATGCAAGCAGGTCTTGGAAGTTACAGTGCAAAAAAATCAAAGAACGAGCTCACCTCGTTCAAAAGAAAGAAAAAAAAAAAAAACATGTCCTGGGCAATCTACGCCTCCATTTCGCAGACGATGCACACCTAGCAAGAAGTGCTATCGACAGATGGCATGCGCAGCGTCCAGGGAGCGTCAGCTGATTCGGGTTCTTTTGCTGGATTGTTTGCTATCGTAACTTGAACAGGACAGCGCTCCCTTAGAGAGCCTGTATTACAGAGAGTGTCCAACTGCTCGATCAGGGTCATGTGGTTTATGGGCCGCATTTGCAAAACGAGCTACGGGGAGGTTGCCGAGCGCATTGATCGTCTGCAAACGTCTCTACCTTTTCACCTGCCTTTTTCGTTGCCACGCGAAAATGCAGTGCACGCACACTTGTGACCAACCCTCCACCATTAAATTGCAGACGTTCCCCATGGTTCGAGATCATGCAGGTAGGAAGCTTCTGGAGGCGACAAGACACCACCAGAGGTGAAGCCACGGGAGACTTTCGGTTTGGTGGGACACGTTCCCAACGATGACCGAAAACTGACAAAACCAAAAGACGCCATTGGACGGAAAGGATGACTAATTTGGCACCAACAGCTGTTTTGGTCACCCTTGGGGATGCTCCCACCGACTCCAATCTCTACTTCTGGCTTCACTTGGGATTATCTCGTTTGACTGGCTTGAGCTGGTTTGTCACCTTCTCTACTACCAACCTCCATGTTCGAGATGGACCCCCTATACAATATAGACTACGCTCCCTGGACGCAGCATCCGCCATCTGTCGGCAGCACTTCTCGCTACGCGTGCATCGTCTGCAAAGTGGCAGCATAAATTGACCAAAACAAGTTTCCGTTTTGTTTGTTTTTTTCTTTTGAATGAGGCTAGTATATTTCTTTATTTTTTCCCCGTTAATTTTCACCACCTGCTTGCACCTCAGTGACCGATTTTTGCGGGCTGTCTGAAGTGCCCCGTTCATGTGCTGTACTGTACCCAGCCAGAGCCACGTATTAACCAGCTAAGGATCGAGCATTACGTAATAGGCATTTCGTGTTTTGTTTTTACAGACTGGCAATGGTTTCTGTGGGAGGCGCTTCCAAGCGAAGACCTTTTGTTCTGGACGCTACGCGACCTCCGACGAAACAACATAATAAACTTGGATACCTTTCTGTGAAAGAACTCGTTTATTCTGCGCAAGGGTCTACTGCAGACTATCGTGTTGCCGCTAACACTGTGGATGGTGTGGCATGGCTTATGATGAAGTGGTGATTTCTCCGATGTCTCACAGTTCGTGTAGCACGCCTCAGTCCTCGGCTTTTTCGGGCGGTGGTCCGCAAGGCTGGAGCATCTTCTCCATGAGGTTGAAGCGGACGCGGGCTTTGGCTTCGTTTTCGCACACGGCGAAGAAGTTGAGGATGTCAAAGTGTCCCATGTACGATGCGTAGCTGTCGCGGTGCTGGTTCACCAGCCACTCGTAGCGCCCGGTGTCCGCGTGGCCCGTGCCGATGTACTTGGACTGCAGATGCTCCAACTGACTGTGGATGTTGTAGCGGTCACCCATTGCGATGACCAAGTCACCAAGTGTTGAAATCACAAGCGTCGGTGAACGGCCAAAACGCTCTATCAACGACGAGCGATGGCGGCGCTGTGATATCTGATAGACTTTCACAACACCGAACCCGTTGAATATGGATGGTGAGGCTCGCAACCTAGTGACGTAGTTGTCATTACGTGCTATTTTAAATTATACCTTGACTCTTTTTAAATCTAAATAATCACTGTAAATTTATTAGAGTAACATTAAAATGCTTAAAAACTGTTGCTGCATGAATTGAAATTTGGAAGTCAAACAAGATTATGTGCCAACACTAGCCACAGCAGCAGCATCCGTATCCATAGCCGTTCCTCCGCGACATGGACTGAGAGCACGGCATGTTCTCAACATTTATAAGTTTACAGGTATCCTAGCTCCGGAACCTGCTTCCCTTCATACTTTTCGCGTGAACGATGGAGCACGACGTCCTCGACCGTTCCGGCAGCAAGCTGGCGTCCATCCTGCTCTTCGCCGACGTCCAAAACAGCGCCCAACTCACGCAAATGGCCGTCGACGGAGCCATCTCGGCCTGCGTCGTTCGCGCTTCCCTGATCGTCGACCTTTTCCAGCTGCAATGCGCCGTGCAGAAGGCTCTAGCGAACCGACGCAACGGCACCATGAAGACCAGGTCCATCCTCTCCGAAATCCTTTACCAGTTGGCGCCCACCAAGAACATCAGCGACTCCCTGAAGCAACTCGGCGCCCACGAGAACGACACCTCAGTCGTCGTTGTGTTGGTCGACGACCCCGATGACAAACATTGCGCCAAACTTCTAGAGTCCGCGCGTGGCGAACGGGCGCCCCTGGAAAAACTCTCCGCGCTGAGTGACCCGCAGGCTTTGAGGAAACTCTTCAAGATCACCGATAAAGAACTGGCCGTCGGGTCGCTATTGGACGCCGTGGTCACGCGAATGGCTGTCAAAGACACTATATGACCACTACGTGTTCGTCGATCGTGTTTATTTTTCGACATCGCGTGCGAACAAAAACGAGAAAAAGTGGCACGCTTGACGATTTTGTTCCACTTTGAAACTCGCGCTCTTGCATAATAGATCAGATCTACGTCATTCTTGAGAACGTGCTGAGCCAAGGTGTTGGCCGAGCACTACTTTTTACTGCATTCCCAACCTACACAAACACACACACACATTGAGATTGTCAACAAACAAAAAGAGTTTGCGCTCGTTCAAGCAATTGCAACTACACACTTGAGATCAGTTAAACGACGTCCTTGCTTCGCTACAGAACGTGGTGAAATCCCTGAAATGCTGAGCCACGGCTATCCAACATTAAAATGTCGATAGGCAGAACTACCCGGAAATGCAGCGATGGCTCTAGGAAACAAGAAAACACCCACCAGCAGTTTTCCGAACCCGGAAGCCTATCGGTACAATAGCCGTCTCCTACGTGGATCGAGCTGAACTTGTAGCCAACTTAAAGGTAGAGGGGAGTGCAGATAGGTTCACAATAAATAGCACACATCCTGTGGTCATCTGCTGGGCAACACTTGCAACCACCATTCTACAGAAGCCCTAGTTTGTGTTTTCAGCGTCGTAATCAAACAGCCGTACCCTGAAAGGTATGGGTGTATGGTAAGTTGACCTTTAGGAACCTATTGTGTGATATTGGCCACTTCGCAACATCAATCATCAACTCTTGCAAACGGAGGTTGAGTTTCTCTTCATAAAAACGCTAGAACTGTAGCCATCTGCTCGGCAATAAAAGAATTGCCAAAAGATGACTCACGAACACAGTAAGGTCGCAGCAACAACACTGAACCAGTTGAAATGTGCACAGACCAAATTAGACCTAAAACCGCAAGTTTGCCGTCCGGTCTTTTGCTGTGTGAAGGCTCATCTGCTAAGCAGAACTTGTCGAGCAGTGATTCCGACAGTCCGGTTCCAGACGCAACCGTCTTCTATACTCTGTTCACTCTTAAGCTGAGATTGCAGCCAAAGCTACAAGCGCGAGCTAGCCTGCACTCCTGGCTTTGAGACATGCATTTCTAGCGTGAGTGCTTTTTCTGCAGAAGAACACTTCAAAGCAGACGTCGAGCTCTCGTGCTTGTGACATTTGTTGCAGTCTCGGCTTAATGGTGAACAGAGTATAGCACCGCCCTTCTACCTTTAAATAACACTGGAGTTGTCTGACTTGCAGATGGCAGAGCCCACTATACGGTTTGTCTGCAACGGGAAGGTTCTTCTGCTACACAAAACTTGCTGAGGAGTGATCAACAGACAGTCCAGTTCCAGAAGCAAGAGTGGATTACCCTCCAACTGGCACTGCCCTTAAGTAATGCAGGAGTCGTCTGCAGTTGCCATGGGCAGGCTCGCCATGCCTTGAACGGCAGACGACGAAGCCTGCAGCATTAGTTTGTCTGCTACGTGAAGGCTCCTCTGCTACACAACACTTGCTGAGCAGCGATCAACAGACAGTTTGGTTTGAGAACCAAGAGTGAATTCCCCTCCCGTTGGAACTGTCCTTAAATAACACCGCAGTTGTCGTCTGCTGCTGCCGTGGGCAAGCTCGCAGGGTCGTGACCAGCAGACGACCGGGGTCCGCCGCCAAGGCAGGGTGTCTGGGCGAGTGACTTCGGGTTCAAGGTTGCTCGCGAATCGGGGCTTGTTAAGAAGGGTCAGGTGAAGAAGATGATCTCTGGTATTTGTCCGTCTTCGACGGAAGTTCCATTGTTGTTCCCCGCGGCATACGTGAACTGGAAGGTCACGCGGCTCCCCCGAGGACAATCCAGGGTGATCTTCCGCAGGCCTTTTGTACCGTAGTGAGAGTCGGGGCCCTGAAAGAACGGCAGAGTGTGATGCAATGTCCGGCGTACCGGTACCACAAAAGTGTCAGTTTGGCCAAACAACGCTCAGAACTAACACTTTCGAGTTCGTAAAGCACAAAAAAAGGCATCAGTTTTTTCATACAGGAGCTGGTATTAGATTTATAAAAAAAAAAACATTTACGAAGCTTACATATCTTCTTTAAACACTTCCGACGCATGTATAACTAGACCGAAGGTTTTGCACTATTCGTGAGATCAAATCCCTGCGCCATCTACGAGAAATGGTCTCTAAGACCATGATCAGAATTATATAAAGCTGACGGTGGAAGGATGCTGCACAAAAAATAACAAACAAAACATTACTCAGTTTTTAAGTGTTCCAAGACTATCCGACAGATAGCGTCAGCGTGTTCTATCGTCGTAAGAAGTTACGAGGGAACGCAACGTGCTTGGGTACATCTAAATGCAAATGTTTGGACCAGCCTATAAACCGTTCCACTAGGAAGAGCGGAGAGCGGAAAAATGCCCTTCCCCTCTCACCCAGTGCATCATCTCCTCTGCCCAGTAGGCTGTACCTAACATCCGGCTGACGTTCAAACTCGGTTTAAAATAACGTCATCTTGGAAATTTCAAGCGCAGATGCGCAGATTTTTTTATGCAAGTTATCATGTAATGATGTGCTCGATAAAAAGACTAATCGGGTCCAATTGCACTGTTACCTGCGTGCAAATTTAAAAAAAAAAAAAAATGCGAAAGGCGTGTCAGGGTGGTCGGTCTCTCCAACGAAAAGTAAATTCGGTTGCTGTAGCTTTTCTATCATAAGAAGTTAGTATTGATGTAGGCCTTAGGCGACAATGAGTGGAGGCCTGAAATAATAAATAAAATTGTGCTCTCCTGACGCAATAGACGCAGTGGTTGAGGGTTGTACTGCCGGTTGACACTACTGCTATTGAAGTAACGAACAAAGGTAAGCTAGTTGATCATTTACTGAAATAAAACAACAGAGTGCTATAGGCTGATTTTGGAGTAGCCATAAATATTCTAAGAACGCAAACCACTTCATAACGGCAGCCACGAGCGAGAGTTTGATGTTCGGTACAGCCCCTCGGTACAGCCCAAAGATGGAGAACGGCAACCTCCCGGTTTGTCGTCTGCTAGCGGAATCGGGCGTGTGCCCTTTCTCTCATTTTACCCAGCCGAATCTGATGAAGTTCCCGGATGTGTGGAGAGGGCGCTGCGGTCTAATGAAATGGCGCCACCCTGAGAGCACTAAATGGAATCGTCTATGAGAGACCAAAACCAACAACCAAGGGCGACTCTCACTGGGGGAGGCTCTGCTCGACGGAGCCCTGCTTTCTTGTCATGACCTTTCCCCTTCCATAATTTTGTCCATTGAGGCAGCACGGACTCCGAGTGGTGATACTGTCAATAGAAGCAGTGCCGTTATCTCGGACTTTGTTGTCCTTCAAGCAAACGTGTTGGCGTATGCGTCAATCAACACATCATTATACGGACCCAAGGAACCTACTGCATTTCTACGTGGTAACTCCAAAGTGGAAACCCACATCATTTAATCAAATTTCCTGGGGCCCAGGTTCGTCCCGGATGCCACTGTACTCGCAACGAGACGTTTAATGAACGAAGTGGGATCAGCTTCGGCGAGAGCAGTTCGACGGCACTTATGACCGGGTTTCCGAGTGGGCAGCGGAAAGCTCCCTGGACTACAGGATTATCCCTTCCCGACTGCCGCCAAGTATGCTCGTTACTAATTCCCTTTTTTTTCACGCTGATATTACCGGGCGTTCGTGAAAATCTGCTGACTTCAAGGAAGCTGTATTTTCGACCATCGAGTGCAAGGACCTTCCTGGCTTGGGCCCACACCAGGTGAACCACGACGGGATGGCCACCTTCGCCAACGGAGCAGCCAAGTGCAAGATCATGGCATGCGGGGAGCTTTAGGTGAAACAAAAATGATGCGTCATCATGTATTCATGCAAAAAAGAAATCAGGCTGAAGCTTTTATGGCTGCCACTACTTTTGCCAGGCAAAGACATCAAGAGGGTTCTTGAGCCGTTTGGCGCTGTCAAGGACATCTAGAGAGAAAGATGGTGATTCTCGTATCTTGGTGGAACGAAGGCAATGACAGGAGTGGTAACGCTAGGTCTAAAGGGACATCCTACTATAGACGAGGTACCACATATGCTGACCATCTATGGAGTGAACACGCTGGTGGTTATACCTGGACGACAGTGCATTAACAAGCATTTTTTACAGAAAAATGCCTTAAAGCATGGGTTCTCAAACTGTGTCCCTAGGTTCCCAGCTGTTCCCCAGAGTGCCCTCATTGGTTTGCCAAGTGTTCCCCAGATTGCCCTCATGCATTCCCCAGGTGTTTCCCAGCAATTATTTTAGCTACCCTAACTGGCTATATTTTCCAAATTTCCAGCCTTTACCCTTTCCAGTATGCTATTCAGTATCGTGAAATTCAGAATATAGTTATTCTGAAATCAGCAAATGAAAGTGGTGATGATAACACCATCATTCAAATTTACCCATGCCTTCCAGTGCCCCAACGCTGCTGGCAGGCAGGCTTGCGGGTCAAGCGGGAAGTTTACAAAACGAAGTACACCGAGCATTCGTTTCGTGCTGCTGTACTGGTGGCTGGAGCAGGCTTTCAAAGCATTCTTCCGACACCATGAAACTGCTTGTAATCATTTGGGAGCCAATTCCACAGTCCAAAAAGTGAACCCCTGCCTGCCGACGGCATCACTTTCTCATTGTTGCCGGTAGAGACTTTCAGTTTCAAAACAAAAACGGTATGGACCAAAACTAAATTCAATAACATTGAAGAAAAAAAATATTGTCTTAATATTTGAGTTATTAGTTCAGCGATGTTTGTTGGTGCGTTTAGTCAATTTTGAGGCAAATCGGAAACTATGAGGAAAACGACGGAGTGCCTTTTTAAAGGGGAACTCCGTCGATTTTTCGAGCTACCTAATTTAAAGGCATAATCTGAATGCGGATGGCTTCCTGATTCCGAAATGCTATCTCATTTTCCCAGATCCACTCTAGTTAATTAAAAAAATTGATATTTTGTTGGCTGCAGAAACCGAAACATCGTTCTCCCTAGGTGTTCCCCAGTTTTCCCTGCCACCCAAGCGTGACGTCACGGGTGGGCAGCAAGGCGAGCGGCCAGCAATCGGGTACGCTGGCACCCGCCCTTCTCGCGTCTAACAGCGACAAAAACATTGGCATTCGTGCTATTCGAAGTTGATAATTATCTATATTTGCACCAAGTATGACCTTGGCCTACGTGCCTAACTATAAGTAAAAAAAAACAAAAAAAACGGGAGCAACTAGACTTTTGATAAAACCGTTTTTGTAACTCCGTACGCCCAAGCCACGGCTCGCTAGTTTCGTGATATCGCTAGTAAATCCGTTCTCTTTTTATTAGAAGATGGCTGGCAAAGAAAGGTCGAAGAGTCACGCAATACATTTTTTGACAAATTGCCAAAGCACCACTGAAAATGCTCGGAATGTGGGTATAGTATGACCTGAAGGAATGTGCCATTTGTTTTAGATTTTCTTTAGAAAAGTTACTGTTACAGGCACCAGCACGTGTAACTACTCTTGTGGCATGAATATGCTCCTTGGTGCTTAAGTAATTTAGCAACAGATTTATAGACCATTTCTGAAAAGCGCTTCTGGTCGATGCCATTTTCAGCGTATGTGCATGTGGCGCGTACATTGCTCCCCTTCCAAAGCGACGAACATGAGCGTGCTGGACTGGGACCTAACACATGTAGACTGTGATTCTCGTGAACAATGAAATGTATAGAATGGAATGAACTGCATTCGTGTAGACCAGATGGCAGGTTACTGGTCATGAAGATTGTGTTAAAATGACAATTAAAAGAGCTCTGCAACCACCAAGCGAAACATTAAGGTGAAATGGAATGCATATAAAACACACAAATACATTGTTCATCTTCAACTAAAGGATATTTGCTCGAAGATACAATAGTGCGTAAGGTACAGAAAGACATCATAAAACTTTTAATTCAAAGTAAGTTAACAAAAGTTAATAACAAAAATGTGTACTTGTTTTTTTGTTTTTTTCGGAATAGGATGCAACACGTTTAAACACCCATCCACGAGAGCACATGGGAAGGGTGTAATTCTATACAAGGTTTGTTTTTTTTAATTAAGTTTTGGTTTAGCACAGTTTCCATCAGCTGTATATTTGCATGCCTCCCCTCAAAGACATTAAAGGAGCTATGCAACAATTTCAGGGCTTTGCTTAAATAATTGTGGAAGCTGATGCCTGGCACTTCTGAAGCGAACTACAGAAAACAGATTTTGCCTGGACACCCTAGTTTTTATTTAAAAAAGATGAAAAAAATCCATGTTTTTGCCACCTCTCAACTCGTACATCGTCTTCCGGGTCACGTGCGCAGTGACGTTGATGGGGTAGGCGCGGGGTTCCGGTAAAGTTCTCTCTCTAGAGCCATCAGTGAGCAGCGAGAACTCATCCGCTCGCGACAAACTAGTAACGTTACTCGCGACCGCGTGACCACGTGCTGGCGGGCGCAGCGCGAACAATATGGTGAAAGGAGGAAAGTCTCATCACTCTACCCGTCCAGCCCTGTCCCCCTCCCCCTCCAGCTTCTGGCGGCTGTTCGCGGTAGCAGATGGAGCTGACAGTTTTGTGGACCTATAATAGATGGCGCCACTAAAACTCCGCATAATAAAAGTTTGGTCAGGTTTTTGACGCATTTACATATATTTATGTTTATGACAAGATTTATAGAAAAGTTACCTTTTATCGAGCAGGTATTCGCACAACTTGCTATCCTTCTACAAGATTCCCCAGTGACGTCACGCCGCGTGTTTCTCATGGCCGCCGCTCGCGGCTGCGGGTCGGGGAATATTCTAAGTTTTGCCTCGCTATTACGCGGCGGAATCGCAACATTTCGATGAAAGGGGGTGTGTTTTCTGTCATTTGTGACAAAGTGAACAATGTCAAAAGTAGAAGAGGCCAATTCTTTCAACGTTAAAATCGTTGCACAGCTCCTTTAATATCTTCATGGTTTGAAAAAAAGTTTCAGCCCTATATAAAATTTTTTGGCAATAGAATAAATTAAAGACATTTCCATCGCTTCTTCTGCAGAGAATATTGCACGCCAACCATTTGATAAACCAGGCAAAGGCTGTATCGTATATTAATGAAGCTCAGCACCTGCTCCGTTAACCTCTGTAATAGCAGAAGACAGGAATAGCAATATGTCGAAAGTCGTGACTAAATTCAAACTAGAACTTTGTTTAGACGTTTCACTTCTCGTCTTCAACATATCGGCCGCGTGAGTGGAACTCTGAGAGTTCCACTCACACGAGCTATATTCGACGTCCGAAACAAAAATAGTGTTTAAAAAAAATCACTGAACCAATTGTGAATAACAAATGTGACTATGCAAAATGTAGACTATAGTGCTATAGCGTGTACTATTTTGTCGATTTTATTGGCGCTCCTCTTTGGACGGACGTCATAGTGGTCACAGCCGGCTTGAGTGTGCGCTTGCCGCTCTTGAAGCTGTCCCAGCTGCTGAAGGATACTCAACTCGCAGCTCGCGGCTATAAAGTATTCCGAGCAAAAGTGAAAATGTTTCACGAGACACTAGTTCTCTCGGCACACAACTCGTGCAAAAGTATCTTGACGTGGTTGGCCTCCATTGCATCCGGGGAACGCTTTTTTTTTTCTGCCACAAAAACAAGGGGAAAAAAAGAAGCTTTGTCCCGTCACTGTTCCTACAATCTATCGATCGCTGACGCCCAGAAAGTCACTTCGCGGCTGCCCGAGTCGCGCGTCCACCTGCCCACCTGTGACGTGCACGGGTAAGGAAAAGTAGGGATTTTTCATTGTTGCCAACAGAGAGTCGCCTCCTGGAACTTTCGCCGCCGGTGTTACTTAAAAATTCAATAACTTCACGGAAAAATTTTATTTTTATAAAATATTTTGGTTATCAGTCGAGAAAGGGTTATTGATGCGGTCTGCAAATTTCCAGCCAAATCGAAGTCTACCGAAAAATTGGCGGAGTTCCCCTTTAAGCGTTATTTTAAGAGGCCTGACCTACCTACTCACTGGTGGATAACTATGAGCCAAAAGTTCCTTCCTAAGCGCATTATTATTTACGAGGTAATGAAGCTTCTGTCATTCTTCACTGCATCAGTGCCAAGACCAGGAGAGCTTCGTCAACTGCCACTCGAGTCAAGGCGATCCTCAAGATTTGAAAGTTTAAGAGCCTCTGCCTGTAAGAAAGGCCGATTCTCTAACCTTTTCTGGCTAATGACCACTTCCCATGGTCTGGTTCCTCGCACGAGTGCCCGCTCACCTTTAGCGTGGCGCAGGCAGTGTAGTTGATGTTGGGGGCCACTTCGACGGGGCTCTTGAAGAGCACGCGGAACATGGCAGACGAGCCGTCGCTGTTGAAGCTCGTGTCGTGCAAGCCCAGCACCTTGCCCGTGCCCGTCTGGATGATCTGGATGTTCACGTCGTAGTCCGACGGGCCGTGGATCGACCCGTACAGGCCAAAGCCCAGCACAAATATCTTGCGGTCCACCGTGAACCTGCACACAGGGTTGTATTGATTCATTTGCTTATTTCGACCGTAGCAGAATTCATAGTCAGTCCCGCAAGCTTCTCCAACTTGTTTGCTTGCACTTCGCACCGTTTCCTTTTTTGTCATAATGTACAGAGCACGACCCTGTTAGCACAAACACGGCAACGGCAGTTTTTTTTGCTCTCTGAAATATGCTCATTCCAAGTACTTATATATAGGCAGAAGAATTCAGTTTTCATCATAATAATTTATGAGCAGAACTCAAACAAAGTGCCAATGTTGAGCAGAACAAAGCAGCCAGTCCGGGAAAGCTGCCGTGCAAAGCGTGTGTGTCTCGTTTCTGGCGAAACAGGGAATACAGTTATAAATATTTGCTGAATCCTTTCGTGAAACGCATCCCGGCAAGTTAAAATCGGAAGATTTACATCGGGGCGATTGTCATCTTGCAGAAATACAGAAACGGTCGCAAAGGAAGGGAGCGCACACAAGGATCACTGTCGTCGCGGCATACCATCTCGTGTGTTTTAGTTTCTATCAACACACCAGTGGGAGATGGATTCCCTCATTCACCATTCTTCTACGAAGGCAAGTTTTGCTACGACTAAACTGGGTGGCTCGTGCAAGCTGCTGCCCACTTTGAAATTGCATCACTCAGCTCAAGGGCTGGGCGAAGATACTCCAAAAAATATTCGGGGATACAAATGCTGAGATACATGTACCCGAAATATAGATACTAAGATACATTTGTCTTTTATGTAACGGGATACCCGTGAGATACTTCTGAAAGAATGTTGAAAAAGTATTCCGGAATACAGACACAGATACTTATAGAATTACATTTGTTCCCGAACGGTGCTAGGTGGAAAAGGTGCAGTTTTTGGTGAATGCAAATAGTAATGTATGATTGTGCTCCTCTTTTTGTGTCATTTTATGCACTTCCCCTTACCTCAAACTAATGCCGCTATGAAAAACATTTCACACCCGGTGAACCACATAGTTGCTGAATGGTAAAGAGTGCGTGCCATGCTGGACGAAAGGCGTTTGCACAAAATGAACGCTGTTTTGCCGTGAGGGCACCACCTCAAACTGTCCTCTTATATGCTCCTGAGTCACCCATAGTGCAAGGAGATTCGACAACAGAGCACTATACGTCTCCTCCACTCAACTCCTTTACGGTGTGTGCTATGACAAATTGGAAAGAGTGGAGGGCTTTTTTAGAGGAGCTTATTTCGTTATTCTTGCAAGTAACCTTGTTTCTTTATGTTGGTGATTGTGATAGATTATAATATAGGGTGGGTTTATGTTATAAATTCTGAAGAAGCTTGCACCAAACACATGGCTTTATTTTTGTAATTTATCGTAAATCGTAGACACGCCAGCAAATGTGACGAGATACTAAGTCTGGCAAAGTACTGCGACACAAACGATACATTGTAAATGTATTTCACTGCTGAGACACAAATACATTTTACAAATGTATCTCGATACAGAGATACAGATACTCGAAAGTATCTCCAAGATACTATTGCGATACATTTGTATCACAACACTGCCCAGCCCTGCCTGCAAGCCATGACCAAGAGAGCGTGTTCACCCACCGGATGCGGTCCGAGGTGCCCGAGTACCCCCAGCGGCTCTCCGTCTGCTGGAAGCGTGCCACGGCCTGCTCCTTGCCCACGATGCAGCAGCGGGGCACGTCGGGGAAGCCCACCGCCGGCTTGGGGTTCACCGTGAAGTGGAGGAAGAGGGAGACCAGCTCCCGGTCCGTCAGCACGCCGCTCTGGGCAGGGCCCAGGGCAAACTCCTCTATGCTCATCAGCGGGAAGCGGACCAGGAACAGGGCCCGCCCCAGGGCCGCCCTCTGGCCCTCGGGCCCCACGGGGCGCCCCGTACGGACGCACTCCGCCTCTGCCCACCTGCAGGTCGGAGGGTTTGGTGAGCCGCACAAACTCGCACACCTTCATGACTCACACCCTTCTGTGACTCGCACGCTTGCGATACTCGCAAGCTTCCGAGACTCGCACGCTTGCGAGACTCGCACGCTTGCGAGACTCGCACGCTTGCGAGACTCGCACGCTTGCGAGACTCGCACGCTTGCGAGACTCGCACGCTTCCGAGACTCGCACGCTTCCGAGACTCGCACGCTTCCGAGACTCGCACGCTTCCGAGACCCGCACGTTTCCGAAACTCGCACGCTTCCGAAACTCGCACGCTTCCGAAACTCGCACACTTCCGAAACTCGCACACTTCCGAAACTCGCACACTTCCGAAACTCGCACACTTCCGAAACTCGCACACTTCCGAAACTCGCACACTTCCGAAACTTGCACACTTCCGAAACTTTCACACTTCCGAAACTCGCACACTTCCGAAACTCGCACACTTCCGAAACTCGCACACTTCCGAAACTCGCACACTTCCGAAACTCGCACACTTCCGAAACTCGCACACTTCCGAAACTCGCACACTTCCAAAACTCGCACACTTCCGAAACTCCCACACTTCCGAAACTCCCACACTTCCGAAACTGCCACACTTCCGAAACTGCCACACTTCCAAAACTCACACACTTCCAAAACTCACACACTTCCCAAACTCACACACTTCCGAAACTCACACACTTCCAAAACTCACACACTTCCAAAACTCGGTGTGATGATCTTGATATTGCTAGAGAAGAGGGAAGGAAAGAAGATGATGTGAGGAAGGGCACGGGAGAGTCACTGCGGAAAATCCAGCGACCAGCAGTCAGGACTGTGCACTTGGGACACGCCCCAAGAACCAACACCGGCTAAAAGACATTCGAGCAAGACCGATTCTTTATAGAAAAGTTACCGGCATGCCAAAGCATAGATTGGTTCAAGACCAAAAGGCAAGCAAGAACTCCCACACCCCGACGCTCCACTACGATCCCGCTCCCATCCTCACAACGAAACCTCAAGGTTCAAGTGACGCCAACACTGCGACAGGCCTGAATCTTCTAACTGATCCTGAATCTTCTAACTGATGAGACTCGGGGAGGTGCTAGGGCTGGACAGGGGGTCATTTCGGGATTGGCTTGAAAAGCAACTCGAGTACATCAGGGTTGATTGTGAAAGCACGAAGGAGAGCGAGCGGGAGGACCACAAATGGGGATTGGAATCAAAAGAATGGGAGGGGAGAGCATTGGAGGTGGATGGAGGTGTCTTGTTGGGTGTGCGGGCAACGTGCAAAAGCAATGGGAGATGGGGCTTGAGGTTGAAGCAAGGTTATTGATAAAGCAGAAAGAAAATGGTGAAAAGGTTGCAGTAATGGCACATTTCGAGGCTGAATGCCATCGTCTGGAATCGTGGATAAGCCTCTTGTAAACCACAAACAAAGCACCACTGACTGGTGAAAGTTTAGCCAAAGAATATGGGACAGAAAATCTCTCGTTCAATGACGCAACAGAAGCGAGCACATTTAAACAAACCGCTGACAACACCGATGAGCCAATTTTCTGAGAGGCATTGAAACCTGACGAAGGTGCCATGCTTCAGAATGCACTCAAAACAGGGTAATTTTGTGCGCAGAGGAAGTCACAGGACGCTGTGTAGGAGCATTGGCAGAGCTTGCTAAAGCATGGAAGGTAGTAAAGAGGAAAAAAAGGAAGGCTAAGGCCTCGGACGATCCTATGGTGGATTAAGGAAAGCGACATGGACTCAAATACGTCGCCAGGACGCGGGTGAGACGCTGCGCGAGGCGGAGCAGATGGTGACAGAAAAGAGTGCACCTCAGAGTCGTATATGTAGAGAGTTTGGTCATTAATTGGTAAGAATAGGGTGAAAATAAGAGCACCTCATTGGCTCAAATTGTTTCAATGACCTTGGGCACAATGATTGACAGCTCTTATGGCCCACCACTAGCCTCAAATATTCCCCTAGCAGAGGCAATGAGCTTAACAAATACCCTCCAATCAGAATTTCCAGGTAAGGATGTATTCAGGCATTTAATTGCAGCATGCTAGAGTTAAAATTTTTTACTCTTCGTAACTGAAAGGGCAACGCACGTGACGTTGGTGTCAAAACGACATTCAGGACGCATTCAATCTTTCGTTTGATCGCACTCGCGGCGGCGACCGCTGCCGCAGCCACGACGGGATAGACGAAGAAAAAAAAGCGGATTCGGCTCCGCGGAAGTTCTGTCCAAAACCCCGAAGGCCCACCCCATATTCGCAGTGTCGCCTCATGTTTAAGGAAATTTTTCTCGTTGGTGTCACCTTTCCTGGCTCATTAGACACACTCAGCACCCTTCAAACTCCCCTTTTCCACCAACCTCTTACAATTATATGTTCATGTACTTTCAGCATCGTCCAGAAACAAAAAAATATCTGTGCCGTGCTACCAAATCCTTCAAGGTCATCCCAGCACATTCTTACTTCGCAAGTTCATTACAGGGGGGAATGCGCGGTGGTGGCAGCATCGACGCGCTCTCGCCGTTCCACCTTCGCTCCTCCCATTGACCAGACTCTCTCTATATATGACTCTGTCGCGCCTGAGAGAACGTGCAGAATGTCGACAAGTGGTAGCTTGCAACGTGTGCTCCAATGGGGGGGGGGACCCTGGGAGTCGGAAGGAGTGAAGGCCGAGTATGACTCTGTCATGGTGCTGGGACCCACGCCTAGTTGGTCTGCTGGATGGTAACAGCCAGATAGAACATACTGATATGAGTACTTTGCCAGCGTCGACCGCATTTTAGTACAAAAGTGAAAGTTTTTTTCTTTTTTTTGTGTGTGTGTGTGTGTGCGTGTGTGTGTGTGTGTGTGTGTGTGTGTCTCTGTGTGTGTGTGTGTGTGCACGTGCGTGCATGTGTTCTATGATGAAACTTCTTGGATGATTAGTATTGTGCTTATTCTTGAGTATCTTTCTTTTTGGTGAGTGACTGACCAACGATTTGCTGAAATATTTGAACAATGGAAACTGTGGATCTCTCTTTTCCAATCACCTTTGAGCAATGTCTCCAATTTTGATTTACCGACGAGAGTGACCTAGATTAACTGTTTAACATAGTCTTATTTATAGGGAGCTTCTGCACTGGTAGCTGTGCACGTTTGAATGTGCAGAGTAGCTCGATGCTTTTTTTATTTTACACAACCGTAAATCTTGTTCAGGAATAGTCCTGAGCTTTGAATGCTCCCTCATTTTGACCTTGCCGTGGCGCGAACATGTTTGGTGCAGAAGACATTCACACGGTGTCGATTCTTGATCGGTATCCAAGCGTGCGAAGGCACAGAAACACAACACTTATGCGTGCCAAGGAAGCTTCGATCACACCGCGAGACCGGCGAAACTTGCTTTCGATGACTTGCACCTTTTTCCCGTGGCACTGCACTTTTGTAAAAATTTCCACATGTTCTCAACGGCAAGTTTCAACGCTTACATGGGGTCTTAAAAAACTTCTTTGGCGAATGACGATGAACGAGTAGAAAGCGTGTCTTCAGCATGCTGCCGCCAGCCTCTGCAACGCTAGGAAAACCGCAATTTGCCTACAAGCAAGATGGCCGTCCGGTGGTTTCACTCCAGAAGCGGGAAGCGTGATGTAGCAATTGTCATAGAGATCAGTGGTTGCGTCCGACTGCGTTTGGCTGTACTACCATGGCCACCTCAAGAACTAAAACTACGGACACCTTAGAACTCGAACACCCCCGGAACTCAGATACCGCTGGAACTTAGAAAAAATTTGCAGCTACAAAGCACACAGCAAAGCATGCAGCTTCAGAGGACATCCATTGCCACCCACCGGAGCACGGCCGCAAAGAGCTTGACCTCACGGATGCGGAGGGTGTCTCGCTCGAGCACCGCGCACAGGGTGTCGTGGTCGACGTCCACAAAGCCCTCCGCAGCCAGCGCCTCCGCCGTGCTCTTGTCGATAGTGTCGAGGCAGAGCGCCGCCAGCTGGGGTTCGTCAAAGAGCCGGGCTTGCGTGAGCAGCAGGAAGGCGTTGTCGCTGCTCAGGTGGCGCTTGAGGAACTCCACGCACGCCTTCTCCAAGGCGGGCACCGCATACTTCTTGGCAGTGTACAGCGTCGTCATCACTGCGGGGAAACGCGGGCAACAAACGAGAGTGTCTTGTTGGGTGTGCGGGCAACGTGTAAGGGCAATGGGAGCACTGGTGTGTTGTTTCCCCTCGTCCTCTAATGCTCCTCTTCTTGACACATAATGTGGTATAGGGCTGGGTATCATGGGAAAGGGGACACGTCAACCGTTGTGCTGGACTGACATACGGCTCGAGGTCATATAATTTAGCACCAGGTAGCTTCCATGGTCTCGATGTCACATGACACCCTGTCACGTGACACAGTGACGTCATGATACAGTTGGCCCGATTACATCGAGCTCGGGCATTTCAAAATATTGCCTATTTCAAACAGTCAAACCATCTGCTTGAAAATCGCATGTAAAAGTATAGGCACGTTGTGCATCTGCATCGAACTTCACCACCAGGAACATCAGACACATCAAACCGCATGCCGCTTCCCTGGTAGGAAGGCTTTCTACGAAAATATGCCGTTGCTGTGCGGTTTTAACGTGCCGAGAATAAACGACCCCGACAGCGGCCGGCAGAAGCCGCAAAGAGGCAGAGGGTGAAAACAACGCTCCACCTCCACTCCTTAGTCCCCAAATTAAAAAAAAACAAAAAAAATGTGTTTGGCTAGTTGAGTGTATCAACGTTTGTGAAATTGCGCTTTGAGCGCTTATTTATTTTTGTTCACCTCTTCTCATTCGCTGGTTTTGCTTTGTCATTTTTGTTTTGCCATGCTTTTTTGCTGCCTGATTTCTTCTTTTTTTGTTTGTGGCTTGCTTGACTTTTTTTGATGAATGAAGAGTTGCTTTTTTACACATTTCCTCTTTTTTTTCTTATTATTTTTGTATTCCGTCGCCCATGCTGTTAAGGTTGTGGCCAAATGCGCACGAGCAGTAACGTCAGTGGTTTCCACAAACTACGCTTTAACTAAGTTCTACCATATTTAGCGGTTTTTGAATACGCTCTATTTGGTAAGCCCCCATTTGTCACGATTTTTGCTGTTTGCAAAGGTGCTCAGAAATTTCGGCCCGAGCTGAAGTTAACATACTGTCGTATGTTGAATTATCGACATATCACACTATCTTACGATTCTGTTTCAATTCGACAAATTCGGGTTTGACTCTATCGCTTAGCATTGTGGCAGTGGCGCGACACGACACCATAGTGTCACGCATCATGGTACAACACCACGAGGGCACGTGACACCTCCTTGAATGTGCCTCCGAGTTTGTCGTATACGATCGAGACACGCTTCATTCAAAGATTTAATAGCGAAGAAAAGGCATCTCAGAGACAATGTTAAACTTCCACCAACTAGACGAGCTGTCTAGTTTGTGACAATAATCATACAACATTTGCATTCGCTTGGATAATCGATCAACGTAACCAATAGACCGGCCAATCGCGGCTGACGGCACGCACCAGTCTCGGGCCCAATGTGCACCTCGTCTGAGTAGAGGAAGCGGAGCAGCGCCAGGAAGGCCGCCGGCTCCACGTCGGGGAGGTCCACCTCGTCCGCCGTGGTGGCCATGGCTCCGTTGAACATGGCGTCGAACACGGCGCTGCCCACCGACAACACAAACTTGTGGGCCGGCAGACGCTGCTGCTGGGGGCCCCGGCCGACGAGGAAGCGCACGTCGCTCAGGATCTCCTTGTTGAAGAGGAAGCCAAGCCGCTCCTTTACCGTCATCTTGGACGCCTGCCAGTTGAACAGCACCTGCGGGACGCCAGACGTGACGGGGAAAGGGACCTCTCCGTCGGGTTATCGCTGCCACCGCAGGTGATGTCGCCAGCTTCCAAGTTTGGCATGCCTTTAAAGGGTACTGCAACGAAGTTCTAGCACCTATTTGATTGTCTAAATGTCAACCACGTTCTGGCCACACCACAAATCGAATATTGTTACGTCATACAGCCTAAGCCCGTCATAACAGACATTGATTTTGACCAAAATTTTGGCCTGTTGTAAAAGGAGTATGTTGTATGCAGATATGAATCTGAGTCAATGGCGCATAGAGGAAAACCAACCGAACTTCACAAATCGGTAGGTTATATCCAAATGTCTGTTGTAACCAGGTCTATTATAATGAACTTAGACTGTACTACCCTTAGAAGCAGCGCCACTTCGCGGAAGTGCGGCAGCAAGTTGTGTGCGCGTCAGCCCTGTCCTAACTTGGCCCAACCAGATTTCCCTCCTTTCCGACGCCTATTCAACTCCTACGGGGAACGGGGAGCAGGCATCCCGAACAGCCAGGTTCTAACAACGCCACCGAGTGGCAAAGCTTGCAACCACACCAGCTTCCTTGTAGCCTTGCCTGTGAAGGTAAATGTGACGTCACAAACGCGCTAGAAGCGCCGGATCTCACGAGATGCGTTGCACAGTCCATTGGATGCTCTTCGAGCGCTCGCTTAAATCGGCCGTTTGAAATGAAGAATATAGCCATGCATTGCGACTGTGATTAACAAATTTCATTGATCGCGTTTAACTCATTTCTGAACGTAAGAGGTATACCGTATAATCGCGTGTAAGGGCCGCACTCATGTATGGGCTGCCCCTTCCAGTTTAAAACAAAATATCCCGAAACCATTTTTTAAAAAAAAGCATTTGTGTATGAGTTGCACCCCTTCCTTTTGACGCGCAGCACCAGTGTAGCCTGCCGTGCCAGCGGAGCTGCCATGTTTACACAACTCTCCGTGGCATGGTGCCCCTGGCGCATGCGGCGCAGGTGCAACAGCACGGCTGTTTCCACCTTTTGCTTTTTCCACATTCCAATCCTGTCCTCCTCACGGCTGGTTGGCTGCTTCCCAACAACCAAAACTGTGAGATAGCACCGCCAGCACCGCTGTTCGCGGAAGTTTTTCATGGCAAGGTTTTGTCTCCGCATGTCCATAATTCGAGCGCGATGGGCAAGCACTTGAACAGCTACACGGCTGGGTTCAAACTGAAAGCTGTGGCTTCCGCCCTGGAACACGGCAAGCGCGCAGCAGGACGGCGGTACGACGTTGACGAGAAGTGTGTGTGGCACTGGTGCGACCAGAAAGATGGTTTGGCCAGCACAAACAAAACAAGGCACGCATTCCACGCCAAGCCCCGCAAGTTCCCCGACCTGGAGAACAAGCTCTTCAGCTATGTGGAAGAAGTGCGCAATGATGGGTATGCCTCCTCGACTGACATGTTGAAAATGAAAGCACTGAAACTGGCACATGCAAAGGACATGCCTCCTTGAGATTTCAAAGCGAGCACCGGATGGATCCAAAGATTTATGAAGCGAAAAGATCTTTCCATTCAAAGAAGGACGACAAGGTGCCAGCGACTTCCCGAAGAATACGAGAACAAGCTTCTCAGCTTCTAAAAATATGTTATTGAGCTACAAAAGGAACAGCAATACATCCTGTCCCAAATTGGGAGTGCCGATCAGACCCCAGTTTGGTTTGACTCGCCGGAGAACTGTACGGTAAATGCCAAAGGCGAAAAGAGTGTGCTTGTCCGTACCACGGGAGCGGAACCCCAGCGTTGCACCATCATGCTCAGTATTGCCGCGGATAAGCGGAAACTGCCCCAGACGTGATTTTTAAAAGGAAAAGGGTTCCTGTCGAAGAGTTCCCCCGTGGAATCAGTCCGGGCGCAGGAAAAGCGCCGGATGGATGACGAACTGGTAGTCGGCTGGCTGAAAACCGTTTGAGGAAACCGCCCCGAGGCTATGCTAATGAACAAGTCCCTGCTGGTGCTGGATAGCTTTCGCGGTCATCTGACTGAAAAAGTGAAGGCAGAGCTGCACGAAAAGCACACGGACCTGGCCGTCATACCGGGTGGGCTTACAGGCATTCTGCAGCCCCTCTGTGTGAGTGTCAATCGGCCCTTCAAGGTGGAGTTCCGTTGATGCTACACCAAATGGATCATCAGCGAGAACCATCAGACGCCCAATGGACAGCTCAAGATAGCATCTTTGTTGACTGGGGCCGGATGGATTGTGACCACGTGGAACTCAGTCCCACTCAACATCGCTGCAAAGAGCTCGATCAGAGTGACCAGAATCTCGAAAAACCTCGACGGCACCGAGGATGACCTTGTGTGGGAGTGCGTCTCCGAAGAGCCAGACTCAGGCGCTGCGGACAGCTCAAGTGACGAGGAGTGAGGCCCAATAAAAGATGCTGGGGACTAGTGCGTTCGACCGGAAGTATGTCCATTTTTGCGAGCGCATATATATCAATATTTTTTTATTCGTGTACAGGCCGCACCTTAAAAGTTGGCCTTCAAATTTAAAAAAAAAACTGTGCGGCCCTTACATGAGTTCTTACACTTGAAGTTTCATTTCAGTATCCCTTTAAGCTCAAACTCACGGTCCTTTAAGCCGGCTGCGAATGTGGGTGAGTTCAGTATCAAGTTCGAATATGAGGGTTTGAGCTGGTTGCGAGTTCGAATGAGTTCAACCTATCTTTGACATTAAGATAGCTACGAGTCTGACTGAAATCGGCCTAGGCATTGATATTAACTTGGTTGAGAGTTTGAAGATGTAGAACTTAGTCATGACCTTTAAGGTTTACACTAGTTCTGTGTTCGAGTGAGTTCTGCCTAATCTTGACATTAGGCTGGTGGCAAGTTCGGGCGACTTGAACCTAGTGACGAGATGGAGGGTTTGAGTTGGCCACGAGTTCGAGAGGGTTCAACCTATTCTTGGCATTAGGCTGGTACAACCTTGTTGCGACTTTTAAAGTTTAGGCTGGTTGGGAGTTTCGGTGAGCTAAGCCTAAGTCCCAATTTGGAAGGTTTAGCCTAGTTTCGAGTCCGATCGCGAGTTTGACCGAGTTTAATATAGTCAAGAGGTTAAAGGTTTGAGCTGGCTGAGTTTGAGCGAGTTTAACCTATATCTTTGACATTAGCCCGGCTGAGAGTTTGGGCAAGTTCAACATAAAATGCCGACCTCTGCTCAAGCGTTATGCGAGAGACTCCCTCACCTGTCCCGTCCCGTAACTGAGGCTCGTCGAGGCCAGGGAGTCGTCCGAGCGCTGGCGAAGCCCGTTGCCGGTGTAATTCTGCACCTCGCCACTGCGGTGGGGCTGGTTCATGGGCGGAGGGATGTTGGCGGGATTCTCCTGGCGAGGCTGCTCGCAGCAGACGGTGGCACTCTGCTTGCCCTGCATGCCGCCAGGGGCACGACATGCTTGGACAATGGGTAGATCCCGCTCGCGTGTTGGCCACGATTAGCCAAGCTGACCTTTTCCCGTTAAAAGAAGGATGAGGATGCACTAGGGGTACCTAAATTTGAGTGCACTATGCTTAGAGAGTGTTCTAGTGCTAAAAGACAAGCTGAAGAAACACTAATGCCGGCTGCCACTCTAATGTCTCCACGAGGTTCCTTTTTCGTGTGGTTGGGAAGGCAACGGAGCTCACAAGAAGTAACTCAGTTACGTTCTGCGAAAAAAACTATAACCAAGTGCATTTGTAGCCCCATTTGTACCTTCATTAAATTTCAGCTCAATTCACTGTAGTTCTAACTTAAAGGTGCACTAAAGACATTTCTAAGATTCAAAAATACTTCAAAAACCGGGAGACGTCATAATTAAAATAAGAGCACCGACTTGACACAACAGAAAAACAATTTCATTAGACGTTTTGCCTCCCATGCGGGAGGCATCTTCAGTAGTTACAAAGCAAATGCAAGGTTCAAATGCTATTTATCAGGAATGTCCGTATAACCTTTGTGGAGAGGGCCGCGGTTTTTGTTACACACGGATGTGTCCCTGCGAACAAACCACGATTCTAGGAGCTTGCGGGGCCCCCATCTGTCCTCCCTCGCCAAGGTCAAAAGAATGACGATATGTGGATGACACTTTCGTCATTTTAGATAAAAGCCATGCTAACGATTTTCACCGGGAGTTAAACAGTGTTCACCCCGCGATACAGATTTCTTGCGAGGCAGAACAGCAGGGCAAGTTGCCCTTCCTAGATGTATCTGTAATGACGACAGGCGAATTAAACCACAGGATTGAAACGGGTGTGTACCGCAAACCATGTGAAACAAATACTTTTTTGGGATATTTTGTCCCATCACCCAGTGCAACACAAGAAATCAGTAGTGCGTTTGTTTGTACACAGATGAAATACCGTGTCATCTAACGAGCTCCATGGCGCAAATGAGATGATTCATTTACAGGAAGTTTTAATGAAACGTCACTACCCAAAGCATTTTGTTGACGAGGTCAAAAACCAAATGGAACAAAATGTGTAACCGTCCGAAAGGGAAAGAGATAAGAATGTAGTGTGCATCCCCTATGTCAAAGGAGTCTCCAAACCTCTCATTTGTGCTTTGAGGCCCCTTGGCATCCAATCTGTTTTCAAGCCGTACAGAACTATTGGAAATTCCATTTCCAAACCTAAGGACCCAACCGCGGCGAACGTCCAGAGAGGCGTTATCTACAAGATCCCCTGCAGTGACTGGTGAAATCATTGGTGAAACCGGACGAAGTAGAGAGACCAGACTCAAAGAACACAAGCGTGACGTCACGTACGCATCCCACGCGACGCGACTGAAGACTGAACTAGTGGACCATGCGTGGACAATGGGGCATTCTTTTGACTTTGCGGCCGCGACGACTTTGGCGGGAGAAGACAGATGGGGGCCTCGGAAACTCCTAGAATCATGGTTTGTCCGCAGGGACACATCCGTGTGTAACAAAAACTGTGGCCCTCTCCACGGAGCTTATACGGACATTCGTGATAAATAGCGTTGACTTGAGGTTGAACCTTGCATTTGCTTTGTAACTACTGATGATGCCTCCCGCATGGGAGGCGAAACGTCTAACGAAATTGTTTTTCCTGTTGTGTCAAGTCGGTGCTTTTATTTTAATTATGTTTTTAAGATGGTCTGTTCTTGGTGGTAACTTATCTTACGGGCTCTAAGCATGCTGGAAATCGAAAAATTATGCACATGCAACGTCGATTTCCCTACTAAAAATGTGATTGAAGTTTGTGCCACGCCCCTTTCTGAGCGGAAAAATCTAGAGTACAGAATTCGAAGGAAATGCCACCAGTGTGACAACGGGCGCGCGTCAGCCAGTGGCAAGTCGGCTTTTAGAGGGAGGCGGCTTGCGGTTGACCGACGCGCACCCGTCGTCGCGCCGCCGGAGTTTCCATTGAATTCTGTGCTCCAGATTTTTCCGCTAAGAAAGGGGCGTGGCACGAACTTTGGTCACATTTTTAGTAATAAAATAGACGTCGCACGAGCTTAATTTTTCGATTTCCGGGATGCTAAGATCCCGTAGAATGAGTTAGCACCAAGAACAGACAATCTCAGAAACGTCTTCAGCGCACCTTTAACTTTAACTGTAACTCTTAAACTGCACCTACTTAGCTTAGATTTTAAATTGCAACTGTAAAGGCCCGTTCACACGATGCATTTTTCTCGGGCATCTAGTGTCGCGAAACGTAGTTTCGCGAAATGGTTGCGCCGTCTGAACGAGTCTGAAAAGGACGCGCGCATCTAAAAAAAGTTGCGCGCACACCTCGCTTCTGGAGCGAGCTTTTGCTGAAACTTTGCCGAGTCCTGTCAATCACTCTGAGGGCGCGGCCAATGGCCGCTCAGAAACGCTCTCACGTGACCTTTGAGGGGGGAGCGAGCTGTTTGAGAAGACCACTTCACTGCCGGTGTTGTAGCCGAGCCAAATTTGAAAAAAAAAAAACCGAAACTACGAACGATGGATACTGCCGGCGCTTCCGCATGCACGTCAAGCACTACTGAAGGAAAAGTGAGTAGCATATTGGAAAAAATCCAGCGATGGACGAAGACGTAATTGGTGATGATGATAATTCGCGTCTATTTTTAGTCATAATTAAGAAATAAAACCTCTAGACAAGGAAACAAAATGGGACGTACACAGTACCGTCTCAAAACCAGCACAGCGCACAGCTTTCATTTACTTCCACAACAGTCTTCTTCTTTGTCAACCTCCATCCAAATTATACATATTCAACAGTAAATAAAGTAAATGGCAGTAAATGACAATTCAACAACTAGTAAATGACAATTTAAGAGTAAATTAAGTAAATGGAAGTAAATGACAGCTGTATGCTGTGCTGGTTCTAAAACGGTAATGTGTATGTCCCTTTTTGTTTTCTTGTCTTAAGGTTTTATTTCTTAACTATGATTGTTCACCAGCTCGCCTGCGTTTTGGCTTTTAGAATGTGGCGGGAGATTGAGAACACGACGCTGAATGGCTAATGGTGATGATCATGATGCTGGCTTTCAACTGAAGCGCCACTTTATGGTCAACACCCAAACTATTTTCGCGAGTCTAAACGTCATCGTTGTTGCACGTGAAGCGGTACGTGTGAACGAGCACATTTCGCGAAACTTGAGTGTCGCGAAACTGTTGCGCGCCTAAAAGATGCATCGTGTGAACAGACCTTAACTCAATCACTTTTCAGATGCAACTCAATTACTTTATAACCGTGACACTAGCCCAAATACTTCCAAGGTGTAACTTGATTTTATTTTTTAAGAATAACCTTTACAGTTTTGCCCTCTAACAGCCTGAGCAGCAAGCACCATATCTCACCTGGGAAACAGGAATGGCCAACAGGGGGGCAGCCTTTGTCTTGTCGGGGTCGGCCGCGGGGGCATTGCTCGGCGTGTCGTCGCCAGGAGGACTTCCTGTTCCGTTGCTGGACATGCCGACTCGAGAGGACAACGCTGCACAAAGGGAAGGCAGCGAAGTCAAAATGCTGCCTTCATTAAGCGTCTCCTCAGCGTCGTGCGCCCTGGAACGACACAACTTTTTGACATCATGTGATATTACATGCACATACACAGCATATGTCAAACCCATTCACAACAAAAAACAACAGACTGAAAGGCGGAGACTAGAGTTAGCATCTGCTGTGTTCCTCGTAAAACGCAATTCTGCATAGGTTTGATTGATAGATTGAAATATAAGGGATATTATGAAAGGGTGACACCAATGTGACCCTCCGTACAGGCACTGGCGATGGCGTCTCTGCGTAAGGCGCCAACCGCGGCAGAAGAAGCAGAGCACGAAGGTAGACTTGTCGCAGCAGCGAGGAAACGTTGAGCTTAAACGTGAGCATAAGAATACACCAGAGTCCGATAAGGTGTCGCAGCTCTCGCTGCGACTGCACTGAGGATTCTAAGCGGATTCTTGCACACTATGCTAGTGGTTATTCCTCAACTCCATTCACTCCTGAGCTGACAGTGTGGTGGAAGCCGTGTGCTCGTTAGACCAGTGTTACGTCTACCTTTCGTCATGTGATCACGCTCCCTGCTGTAATTCCACGCAGAGTGCAGTCAGGTGACGAAAAGGAAGCGGTCGATTGTTCAGGCCAACACGTAGCTCCCACCACATTCTTGGGGGTGAGCGGAGTATACGGCGAGCCCACGAATCCGGATGAAGCCTTTAAAGTGACCGCATAAATCAACTTGGTGACGTATCTCACTACGATTCACCACGGAGGTGCCCGAAGGTGGTGAAAACACCGCAAGAAAATTTCAAAGAACCAACTTACCCGAGTAAAAAGCACAAAAAACAATACTGCTACCCACACACCCCCTGACAGGCGCAACAAACGACAGATGGTGGCAGCGGCCTCGGCTCAAGCTTACCGCCGCCATGCCAAAAGCAAACAATGTTTCTCAATCAAAAACAGCATGCGCTCAATAAAACACATTAACTAGAAAAAAAAAAAAAATTATGGTTTGTCGAGTAATTTCAGTTACATGTTTTCAGTGCATTACCCTGGCGTCGTCTACAGGGTGGTGTAGGAAATTCCTACACCACCCTGCTGTAGAGTGCAAGATGGGGAAGTGTGCAGAGCGCAAGTTTGTGTGCTTCTTGCACAGGGGGGCTGTGATGATGCCAGAACGCCGAGCTCTTATTGGATGACTGAAAAAAATGGTGGGTAGGCCGCAAGGCATCCAGCATAGAGGTCTCCCAACTATCCTTTCAATCGAAGCCAATCACAACTCGGCGTCGTTCTGACGACACCGCAACTCCTGTGCATAAAACAGACGACTTGCTCTCCGGATTGAATTGAGTGAAATTGGTTGCAGAATGAAGAGCAAACTAGGAACAGAACAGAATGAGGCAGGACGGAGTGATGAAGGACACATATGACAAACCTTAACTTAATTTCGTTGCTTTTTTTTTATTACTTTTTTCTTTACGGTGGAATAGGTCACCTAATATTCACAAAAAACTGCAATTAAAAAAAAAAGAAAAAAAAACTTTCCTTTTTTCTTTTTTGTGTGTGTGTGTTTTTGTTTATTTAACAAAATGTGCACGAGTTCACCTAAACGTTCGGGGCATTTCAGAATCGTCCTTTTGCGAACCAAGATTTCCGCAACAAAATTTAATTTGGATTACAAGTCTTCGAAGCGCACCAATGAGTCGTCCACATAACAATGACCAGTCGCAAAGAACAAATGAAACGTCAAACTGCAGTCAACAAAACGATCAGGCACACATCAACGAACACAGCACTTACGATGCAAGCCGACTCGGATGTCTTACCTTCCTTGGTTTCTCTGTTTCCCGATCCAGGCGCCGGAAAGATTACCGAATTCGGAGATTACGCGTTTGTCGCATGATGAGCCTGTTTATGTTGTCTCGTCAGCTGACGAAGAAATGCTTGGACTTCAGCCGCTGCGGCCTGCCAAATCTACCTACGCCAGCCTAGAGATAAGAAAGCTCGTCTTAAGGAGGCGCACTAAAGTTAAATATTATCCTAGAAAACTCGTAATAATATCTTAATCAAGGTGCTAGCGATCCGAGCGATGTTTCGGCGAAAGACACTAGCAGAAAGCTCATCTTCTGGCTGCTCGACTCGGAAGTCTTTACAGACCTCATCATGCGCAAGACGAGTGCAAAAAACAACTGGCATTCAGAGGGCGCAACCAACACAACCTAAATAATTTGATTATATTAAATTAAGCCTATTATACTACTAAAATAATATTAAACATATTTTTAGTTAAAATAGATGCTTTGATGTTAATTTTTATTACACTTTTTATCCTTTTTATAGCTTTGCGTTGTATTGTCACCCGTCAGGGTGTCTTTCGTTGGTTTTCGTCCAAGAAGAGTTGACCTGGTTGACCCTTGAAGCCAGGAGAAGAATGAACGAACGCAGCGGTGCTGGCGGTGCGCGGTGCAGCCAGTGCAGCGTACCGGCGTACCTTCCAGTACCGTCGACCTGTCTACCTACCGGCCACAGCGCATTACCAGCGTACCGGACGTATCGACGTAACTTTTTCGTTAGTACAGTGTAACTGGGGTACTAAAATGAACACTGGGAGAACATTTACGAATCTAGCGCACATCGGCTCGTCTTTCAGAGCGCACGCGCGAGCACTACCAACGACAAGTCTACTTCGTCTCTGTCTGCCAGTTCATCCTACTTCGTGCAGACGATCACATCAGCACGAAGCAGACAACAGTCGATCGTCTGCTGAAGAACCGAAACCGCATCGGGCCAAGGTGACCGGAGTCAGCATCGAACAGCACGCGGAGGCGGACCAGCAGGACAGTGCGCCTGAAGACCCTTTCGCCAGGTTCCCGGACAACACTAATCCAAACACCGGCGAAGTTGGCGGCCCCACGGGCCCCGAACCGACGCGATTTGGCGACTGGGAGCGCAAGGGAAGGGTCACGGACTTCTGACTGCCTTCCCCCTATCCCCTTCTCTACTTCTGGTAACGCCACAATAAATGAACTCTTGAACACTTTGTTGTGCGTTCCCCCTCCTTAAAATTGCGGAGGCAAGTGTCTGCTTTCACACAGACCTACTGCCATGAAAGATAGCAGCAGAGAAAAAGTGGACACTATTAAGCCCTTAACATGAGCACACAAATGAAATGCAACTCCTTCGGCTACAAGTATTTTTCCTTTTCTGCAACGCACTTTTAGGTGTTAAAACAAGAGTAAAGCTGCAATACTTCAAGCTGGGACATTACCATTCTTGTTTTAGACTGACCATTACTACTCAAATGATATAACTGGGATACCTATTATGCATCAGTGAATTCACGTTCATATGGGACTAAAGTTGAGGCCCATTGCACAGGTATTGAGCTGTGCACTCGATGACATTCACTTCATTATGCTTGCCGCAGGTGCCACGACTGAAACGAGTGGCAATGTGTTCTTGACAAACTGCAACAGAACACGACTTCACCAAGAGGACTATTTATTTACAACTGAGGAACAATACCGCTGCCACCGCCGCCAAATTACGCAAAGTAAAGAAATATGGATCAGCCTGGGCTAACACGAAGCTAGGAAACTCGAAACTGCTCGAAGTTATGCAATTCATTCAAAGTGATAAAGAGAAGTGCTTTGTTTCCCGACAAAACAATAGAGAACTGCAAATATGCCCCCTAGCTATATGTACAGCAGAGCCTTGCGTCGAGGAATGCATGACTGTTAACATACAAAAACAGGACTAACTTGTTGAAGCATAGTTCATGGACATAAAGTAAAGGAAGCAACAGCTCACCCAATGAGAGCAGACTCAGCTTCACACTCTGAATAGAGCACAAGAAAAAGAAGCAGGTGCTGCTCCTTTGCCTTTCGACAAGCGTCGCTAGCCATCCCCAAACCAACTAGGGACAGCACAGTAGCAGATGACGCTCCATCAAAGCTCTCCCCATCTCCCCCAAACTTTATTTGTATCCTTCTGCAGTTCCAAAAACAGCAAATCGACTTGACCCATTCAAGCATGCAGACGGCTCACTTCGCCCCAACGGGTGGAGCAGACGACTTGAATCCGCTCCAATGGGCAAAGCAAACAACTTGGCTCGTTCCAGCAGACAAAGTGGCAGACGACTTTGACCCACCCCGGCAGACGGGAAGCAGTTGATGCTCCCTCGGTGTGTCAGCCGGCGGAGTTAGCGCTGCTCTCACTTGACAAAGGCGGCAAAGACTCCCCAGAGGACTTCGCATGCATTAGGCTTAGCCGCTTCGGCTTCCATGTCGAGGTCTAGAAGGTCGCGCACTCGACGCATGGACAGCTCATAGTCTTCGTCCGAAAGGGGAGCGAACGCATTCTCTAGCACGTCCGAGGCGTGTGCGAGGACCAGGAGGGCTAGCAGACGACGGTCCATGCGCTGCGGGTCGTTGACCCAGCGGCCCAAGACGGCCTCCTGTACCCGGCGCACCAGCTTTCCCTTTGAGGCTTGGTCCACCAGTGGGTGTGTGGTCATGTCGAAGAGCAAGAAGTTCTGCTTCTCCGTCGTCAGCACCCCCTTCTCGACGAGGTTCTTCGCCAAACGCTCACGCACGTTGCGCAGCTGGTAGCGAAGCTTCAGCGGGTTCCAGGTCTCCCCTGCAAATGCAGCATGACTCAGCAAAATGGCGCTCTCCCTTACAGCAGTGGTACTCATTTCCACAGTCAGTATTGGCAAGAAATAAAACTGAATGGCAGGTCTACTGCCTTACCTTAAAGGGCCCATGAAACGGATTTTGGGTTGGGATAAATCATTTTCGATTGGGATTTTACTAATAGTACATTGTTCAGTGGGCCAAAAGAAAAAAGGTAGAAAGACAAAAGCCTTACTTTCGGTGCGAAAATTTGAAAACACAGCGGACTATTTCGTACCTCCTCCCCTTCGTAGCTCTCTGCCTTTTCAACGTGATACATCCGCGGTCCCAAAAGCGCGTCACCGGGTCCAAACGCACGTCACACAAAACCGGACCTCACTTAATTCTTCACCCCTAAGCTGACATTGTGGTGGAAGCTATGCGCTTGCCGAAGCAATCAGCCGCCTCCCTTTTATCACCTGACCTCATGCTCTGCACGTGGGTATGCGCGGAGGAGCGTGATCCTGTGGCAAGTGTGGCTGGCCCAACGAGCACGTAGCTTCCACAGCATTGTCAGCTTTGGGGTGAACGGGTTGGGGAAAGCAACTTTTGTCTGAATTTTGAGCGACGGGCTAATCTTCTAGGGGGACAATGGCTCTGTCCGGGTAGATAAACCAGATTCCGAGCAATAGGAGCCTCCCCTCTTTTCGTCTTCTTGAACTGTTTTGTGGAATGCGCGATTTATGAGTTGAGAAGGAAAGCTAAACAGGAAAAAGTTGGAAAAGCGTTTCATGACCCCTTTAAGTCTCTACAATTGACAGCTTGCCTTTGGTATTTTTTTTAGGAAGAACCATAAACATACCATAAAGTCACGAAGAATGCCCACCCAAAATGATGAGATAAATGGTGAAAAAATTGGGGTGGGCTATCTTTGGAAATGCCTCAGCAAAACTTTATAAAAGATAAATAATAAACACCTTGGCATTGGCTACAAACCATGTGACATGGGAAACAATACCGTAAATTCGCGTTTCATGATGCGATAAACATGCGGGAATTCGCTACGACTTCCTGTGTCACGAGAAAGGATACTCCAGGTTGCAAACGCAGCAGATTCATGTTTCATGGTGTGAAGGCCAGAAAAACGGGTTGGGCAAATCTCTTGGGGGCGGGGATTATCTCGGAACATTACGGTAGTCAGTTCCATGTCAAGCCTGCACATGGCGTGTGCACAATGCAGAGAGATGCTCTGCGATGGTCCTAGCATAAAATGAAAAGGAAAATGTGACACAATAAGATGTAACTTGAGGCAACATAACATGACGCAAATAGCCCACTCCCAAAAAGACAAGGGCCAACGGGGAATAATTTTTTTTTGCTATTTTGGTAAAAAAAAAAAAAAAAAAAGACGTATTTAAATTTTTGTAACGTGAAATTAGAGTACAGCTCTTAAGGGGGGACACTGGCTAGAGGTCAAACTTTTGACCTACTCAAGTAATTGGAATGAAATTTGCAGGGCAGGTTTAGCTTCAGATGTAGGTGTACTGTGCAAACTTTCAGCTCTCCAGGACAAATTTACATACCTGCATAAGATGATGTGTCACTTTTCATTAAGAAATCTATGATATGCAAATCAAGCTATTAAGCATCATTTTGACTGCTTGAATATAAAGTAGAGGATATGGGACCTCGGGCTATCTAGTTTTAATAACTTAAATGTAAATACTTCAGGAAGAGTTATTACCTCAAACTATGAGATGCATATCTGTCCTCCGTCAATTTTTGAAAACTTAGTTTTTTATCACTGAGGACTTCAACCTATAACAAAATAAAGTAGATAGCCCGATTCCTAAGTAAATTTAAGTTCAGAAACATCTTGATTGTTGTATCAGAATACTTTCACCTTCGAACAAAAGATTCCTTTGTATGAAATTTGCAGCAAAAAGTAGAACTGAGAAAAATGCATTCAAACATTGAATTCCTTTACTTTGTTACTGCCTCACAATGTGTTGAAAATATTTGATATCAATGTAACTATTTGGCATATGGTTATCAAATTTGGTGTAAGGGTGTATAATTAGTTTCTGAAACTGAAAACTTCAAAACTAAAAAATAAATTAAAAAAAAAAAAAAATTAAAATTTAGGCCCATGTTCCCCCTTAAGAAGGAGGAGGGGAGGGTAGGCTCTTCCTCCTCCTGCCCTTCTCAATTTCGTCCTCTGCCCTCCTCCTCCAATTCAGTTTCCCCGCTAAATTTAGCGGGGAAAATGACGTCGCATGACTTGGTGTCACGTCACCTTTGAACGAATTCCTCAACACCAATTCAATTCCTTGCTAAATTTAGCGGGGAATCGAATTAGTGTTGAGGTCACGCAACGCCAATTTTCCTGCTAAAATTAGCGTGGTTACGCCGACGCCGCGAAAATAAGGAAAGTGGCGCCTAAGAGCTGCACTCTCTAAAAATTAACAAACAGCAGTGGTGTTTCACACTGCACTGCACCCGACTGTCACAGTGACACCCGAGAGATTTTCTAGACAGGGTGTGCTTTCTGCAATATACAGCACATACTCTGGTCATGCTCACATACATGCCATACATGGGTAAATTACTTCCAAAATGTAATTTAATTACAATTACTTTGCTTCAAAAGTAGTTTAACTACAATTACAAATACTACTATGTGAAAAGTAATTATTACAATTACAAATCACTCATAAAAGCAATGAAATTACTTAGCAATTACTTATTTCTGAAAGCGACCCGACTTGGGCCATATAACTTTAAACGAGTCGTATAGAATGCAGCGTATTGTTGTTCATTCCTTACTCCAATGTTCACGTATTGTACTTTCCTTTTATACATTTTGTTAAAATCATGATAGAACTTGACAGCATGGGGCAATGAAGTACTACGTTCTTACATTTTTAATAAATAATAATAAATTAGTTTATATTCTGCAAGACACCAGATTGCTAAAGAGAAACTTTCAGCCCTTCCACTCTGGTAAAGAAGGAAGACCAGCCGCAAGCCGGAGTGGAAAGGCTTTAGCCATCTATGAGCGACATTGGCAACCAGATAGGTGGCTTGCCGCCGTCGCTCATAGATGGCGGTAGGTGTCCACAGTTCAGTGTCTTCATTTCTTTGTGGGGGACACGATCCAGAAGAAACTAGCCCTTAACAGCTCCGCTATAAAAATTGGGTTGCCAGACTTTAGTTAGCCAGGCAAATAAAAATGTGACAATTAGTTATATAGGGGGTATTCACTGGACGCCATATTTGAGGGTGATGCTTAGAGCGCATGCTCAGAACGAGCTCACATTAATAGACTGCTAGGACTGGCGATCTTGATGGTGCGGAATGCACGTTGCAAAAGAACTGCGGAAGCTCGCAGTCAGCACGCGCTCAGCAGCCGCGCAACACAGATATGGCCGCCAGTGAATACTCCTTATAGGAATATTTAACGAGTGTTCATATAAAAGTAAAATCCACACGCGCTAATACGACCACATTCACATACAAACATCCTGGTATTTTAAATAAATTACGCTTGTTGAAATTACAATGGCTGAAAAACATTTAAGGCCCGAATCGGGGCTCCCAAATCACTGGTGACAATGCTGACAGGTGTGAGGTCAGTCTCCAAAGTGCTTATGCAAATAATATCCGAAGTAAAACCAACAGGAAATAAGTTTTAAAAAAGTACAAAGATACACATACGCAACAATACTGAAAGAAGAACGTAAAAAAAAGAAGAAAACTGTGAAAAAAGAAAAAAAAATAACTTCATAGACAATTAAAATTCCCAACTTAGGCCGAAAGCTGAAGCTCAATTTTTTGTTTCAATATTTTGGCTTGTTTACGCTATTGCCTTCTTCTCGCATCGCAGACTGCGCTACACAGCTCCGTTGAGGTAGGCTCTAAAGAGGACTGTCTCTCAGCCCGCAGTGTAATCAACAATACAACAATGTGACACTATTTATGTTGTGCGAGTGTGAGTTTGTGTCTGCGTGCGAGTGTTTCACAGAGAGCTAGGCCGCTTGTGCGAGCGCTGAGGCTTTCAGAGAGGTTCCGTCGGCGCCACAAATTTTGCAAAAGTAATTGTAATTGTGTCTGAAATTTTGCAATTACTGAAGCTAGAAAGTAATTAAATTACAATTCCTTTTAGCCAAAAGTAATTATTACAGTTACAAATTACCAAGAAAAGTAAATAAATCACAGTAATTCAATTACAGTAATTGAATTATTACCCAATTATGATATTACATGAACACTCCCCACATCCCCCACATCATGGAGCGACTGGCTGGGTAGCCCCAGAGCCAAAGACCAACCCACCCTGGCCGACCACGCCAAGGCTGCCCTAGCAGCCTTTTCAAGCAACCTAGACTAAGGTTGCTGCTTTATCGAAAATAAAGTTTCCCTCCTCCCTTCCTTCACCGTTTTGCCATTCTTAGCTTTCATTGACATAGACGACTACTTTGGGCCCTTACCTGAAGTTGTAAGAAGATTTAAAACACCACCACACCAACATACTGGTAGTTTTCAATAGAACCAGAACAAGCCAACTGTCCTTGCCCTGTCACACAATTCACTAGATTCAATAGGCATAAAAAGAACTGACTTCATACGGCAGTTTTGGCTTTCCGGACGATTTTTACAGCAGCATTAAAAGAAAGTATTTTCATTTTAAAAGTATTGTCTGACAACTAGAAGTTTGAGGTCATAGCTTAATCTTCTGCAGTTGCTCCTGCTCAGCGAGTTTGTGCAGCCAAGGTGCCTGTTTGAGCAAAGACCTCGTACTTGTATACCCTAGTGGTGGTACTGCCATTCCGGTTGATTTACACGAGAAAGGGCTGAGAAGCAAATAGTTTGACGAAACACTACCTCGGCCGAAAGAAAACAGAATAGCGCAAAATAAGTGAACAGATTATATGAGCAGAGCTCGCTTTCAAGCGGGAATGTATTGACAGTATGAAACTACTGTTTACTGCACATGTGGCGTTCATTGGACGGGAACAGTGGCTCGCAGATGCGGGGTGCTTGCAAGCCGCGTCCCAGAGAGTCGCGGGTCGCGTGTTTGAGACCTCTGGTCTAGCCGTACCAAGGAATGTCAAGAGCTACACCCCAGTCGTTAAATACTCCTGGTCAGTAAGCCCTTGCCTTTATGCTGCGAAAGAGCGTCCCTTAAAAAACCCCTGAAAAAAATTTGTTTTTTTTTTATAGTCTGGTTGGGACAGATGTGTCAAACAATTAACTTTACGTGGAGAAAACATTTTTTTAGAACAATATTGACGGTGCGAGATTTATTTTAAATTCTGCGAGCAAAGTTCATGACGTCACGGAACATTCATACACTCTCTCCACCTCAACGTGGTGGCCAAGCCGATCCACCTCTCCTCCACACGCCCGAAACGCCCAGAGAGAAAACAAGTGAAAAGGAGGTGACTACCAACTAAACCGCATCTCGCACCATCAATATTGCTCAGAAAAAATTTTTTTTTCCTGTACAATTATTTTTTTGACACGCGTGTCTTTAAAACCTAGACTTTAGAAAAATAACATTTTTTTTTTTGCTTTTCAGGGGCCTTTCAAAGGGGGTAATCCGGCGTTTCCTTCGTAGTCCCAAATTTGCCTGAAAATTTTCTAAACAAAGCAACATTGTTGCAATAATAACTCAAATATTGGACCAAAATGAAATGTCTTCGCAAAGTTATTGAACTTACAATTTCGGTCCTCACCGCCTCTACTGGTAACAATAAAAAGGTGACGTCGGCGGAAGGCAGGGGTTCACTCTTTAGACTGAAGACTTTTTGCAACTTATAACAAACAGCTTCATGGTGTCAAATTAATGCTGAGGAAGCTCCCTCCAGCACCCGCAGAGCAGCACGAAAGAAATGCTCGGCGTAGTCCATACTTAGACTGCCCACTCGACGTGAAAGTCTCCGACCAATGATTTCAGCGTCTACGCTTGTCACCCACGCATCACTGTGTCCCCCCCAAGTTGCAACACAACATTTTCACAAGTGCCCCCATGTAAAGGCTCATTCCCACAGTAGGCCGGACAACGTTGCGAGGATGTCCCGATTGTGAATCGCCAGAATAATCAGGATTCGTACGCCACGTGGCAACCAATTCATTGAGTAGCTTTGCACGTGTAGTGTGAACAGTGAATGTTCCAATGATTCGAGGGTCAAAGTCAAGTGCAACCGTGCAAATCAGCCTTAAAGATATGGGATGTTGTAATCCTGCCAGCTGGTCAGAGAAGCCCCGACGACAACGACGAGTAGGCAAAGACGCCGCTATCAGTCGCAACGTCCAGTCTCGTGACTGCAGTGGCTTTTGACGGCTAGCCGAATGCACAAAGAGTTATAGAAAACCGACGTGTGCCGAACGCACTTCTGCTGTCGGGATCACAGCAGCGGCGCCTCCAATAGAAAAGTTTAAGGGTTGAAATGAAAACGCCGCAAAGATGCCGGTCAAAGACGCAACACCTTCCAGGAACAGTGTTTGGGGTGTTGACACCCCATTCCCTAAATGCGTTGCTGGCCTTCTTGGCCCAGTGCAAGAGCGGGCGCAACTGGTCATAGTTACTGTATTTACTTGAGTAATAGTTGCACTGTTTATGAAGAAAACCTGAGGGTTCGCTTTTCCGCGGAGCACGCAGATTGCCAATCGCCGAGATCGACAGCATGATTCCAGCAATTTACAGGACAGAGATAACGTCTTTGTGCAAAGATACCATCTGTGGAGATTGCATTTGTATGGACAATCGTGTCCTCGATCTGGTTATTTGCTACGTTATTTATGCGCAACGCAATGACTGGCGCAACGCAATGGCTGGCTGTTTATGTGTTCTGTGGGAAAGTAGACGCAAGGGACACATTCATAAATAGTGCGGCTATTACTCGAGTAAATACAGTATGATTCGAGAATGCAACATACTGAGCTTTAGATACGGTAGGCATGGGCAATATTGTTCTGCTTTGCTGCATCTGTTTTAACATTTCTGGAGGGCAGAAAATCGTTTCCTGGGATTTCAGGTAGAGCTTCGAATAACTGGCAACAAAAATTTTACTTAAAATCGAAAGAATAAAAACACTGAGGACAAGCACAGGACAACCATGTTCAAGTTGATTTTCTAGCTGGCTCCAGCTTTCTTACGCCAACTCAACCATGTTATGTCACGCCGCGGTGGTGGCGCTTCGCGCGCACTTCCCGTCTAGGGGTGCGGGTCGAAGTCGTCGTGCGGGACAGGCATTCTCGTGTTGTTTTGGAAGAAACCAGGCTAAAACCTGCCTCCTCGTTAAAACGCTGCAACTGGGGCCGTACCAAGGGACCCGGGAGAAGTGTGAAGATCGGTTTTCATGCGTTTTCTGCCTTTCGCACCTATCCACGTGTTTCCGGCCCATTGGATAGGTGCCGTGAAAAGGGAAAGCGAGCCACCTTTGGAACACAACTGCTTGAAGCGGGAGGCACTTTGACTTGAACTCGCAGGTACTTGTGGTGGTCAGATTTATTTGTTTTGTTACAACATGCGTCTGCACATTGCGTCTGCACATTTAATTGTTACAACAGTGCGTCTGCACATTTAATTGGCCGTCTGATAGTTCAAACTGTCGTCTGCTCATTCAAACGACAATGGCCAGCAGACCAGACATTGCGATGAAAAGTAAGTGCAGGCCTCAAAAGACGCATGTTTGAAGGTTGCTTGGAGTAAGTTGGCTTGGTGTAAACAGTAGGTACAAGATGTAGATCATTGTTACAAGTGGCCATCACCGACTTGCAATGCCCTATTCACTTGGTCCTATTCTGCTCATGATTTTCAGCATCCGACGTCGAGCATCGCAGTTACCGTCGACTCTTTTGCAACGCGAGCGACGTTACGACTGAAAATGGTGATTAGAATTTCATCACGTAAGCCAGGCTTTAGCATCCATTCTGCAGTGTTCACGCGGAACGAATCGCCACATGTCACATTATTTATGCAAAGTTTTGCGGTGTAACAAGCCTCGTTCATTCCGCTCAGGCCTCTAAAGTAGCGACACATTGCTAGGAAGACGTAGAATCAACAATTCTAACACTAAAAAAAGTATGGGGACTCATACTGACGCCATCACATTCCAATGGTTTGTTGATGCTGGACACGGCTCTCCTTGACCACACCCCATCACGCATGTGCGGCGCCAGTGACGTACTGCCAGAGAGGCTCCGCTTTCTTTGTAAACACGAGTTAATGTATGAAGGGCTCGGCCGCCATAATTCAATACAATCAATTCCAATTCGGTGACTGAAGTGTCATTCTGAAACGCAGCTAATTCAGTGGCTCCAGACTCTTGCCGGACAAGTCGCGCCCAAGCAGCTCTCGCCATGATTGGTGCCTTCCTCCTCTCCACTCACTCCCTCTACAGTGCTTACTCTGCTAAAGTAGAAAAAGTGTAGGTCTTTGTAGGAGGAGCTTATGCTGCTTCTCTTAACCGGCGGCAGACTATGGAGCGTGGCCAGGGACACCCACCGCTGAGGTAGTCTATCCAGGCCTGCAGCGTCTCGGGCGGCCGGGTCTCCTTGAGGTGCCGCAGGGCCTCGTCCAGCAGCACATCCCCCGTGGGCGTGTCCGAGCGCAGCAGAACCTTGCGCAGCAGCAGCGACCGCCGGCGCACCCCACACCGCTCCAGCTCAATGCGGCCCCGCAGTGCCAGCTCCACTAGGATGCAGCCCCGCAGGCCCGACGAGATGCAGTCATTCCAGAAGGATGTGTAGCCCTGCACGGGGAAGCACCAGTGAGATAAGCTGGCATTTTAGCTTGAATGCACTCAATCACAATCAACTCGAAAGAAAAGAGATAGCCCTTCCCTCGCCCGCAAACTCATGACTGAAAATAAACTGAAAATTCATTTCTCAAAGCTGCAGTAAGCTTCAGTCCCTCAATAAAAAAAACTCACAAACTTGCCAAACTCATAAACTTGCAAAACTCCTGAACTTGCCAAACTCATAAACTTGTGAAACTCATGAACTTACCATTGATGGGCTCACCAAACTCATGAACTGGCCCAATGCATGAACTCACCAAACTCATGAACTCACCACTCATGGGCTTACCAACCTCCCCAAATTCTCACCCCTCACAAAACTCATGAGCTAACCAATCTCATGGACTCACCAAACTCGAACTAGCCAAACTCACAAACTCGTCAAACTCACAAACTCGCCAAGCACATTACAGGCCAACTCCGGTCGAAAACGAAACCAAAATAAATGACTGGTAGCGCTTTAGTGGCACAAAATATAATCACAGCCGAAATTTTGCGTGAAAGTGAAACAGTGTTCTCCTCTGCAACTGATTTTAAAGATGCGACCAGCTACTCTTTAGAAGGCAGCAAGCGGGGTAGCTCTTAGGCAAGGAACACTGGCACAGCACCCTTGTGACGTCCCGTCGCAGAAGAGCTGTGGTCGATTGGTTGTACCACGTGCTGCAGCACCACGATTACGTCATGTGATTGGTGTTGCCATCCCTCGGCTGGTGATTAGTGTTGCCATCCCTCTAGCAGATAGCTTTGGTTTTGCCGTAGATGCCAGAAACAAAACTTTGAGCCGTGATATTTTTATACCTTGTAATTCAGAAACACTGCTTTAGCCGAAAACAGTTGTAATTCCAAATTTAGAAATATTGGCCGGAGTTGCTCTTTATCTTGCCAAACATTAAGTCGCCCTTCATGGGCTCCCCAAACTCATGAACCCAACAAACTCATGAACTCGTCAAACTCTTGAACTCACCCAACTCAGCTTCAAACCTCAAGGCTAAAGGCCTGTTCACACACTTGCAACCAAGTATGACCGAGAGAGACGAGACCTGCTGAAACCTTAAAATTTCTTAGGACGAGAGAACACACTGGCACACTGACGCCATCTATGCGGTGACCCTGAAACTGCATTTCACAAGAGTGAAGGTTTTTCAGGATTTCCGAGGTCATATGTGCATAATACCTATGAGAAAGGCTCGTTTATAACGTAGACAAAAGTTTTTCAAGCCAAGAAAGAAAGGTTGATGCGCGAGAGAAATAGAAAATATGCCGGATCGTCAAGTTTACACTGCTACCCAATAGATGGCGCCAGTGTGTCCTTTCGTTGCAAGAGATATTAAGAGGTTCCTAGGCACTCGGTTCCGAGACGTCGCAAGTGTATGAACAGCCTTTTATGGACTCACTCACCCTCACCATATGAGGGTGAGTCAGTTTTGCCAAGGCATTATTAGCACAAGGACGAAAATTAACAGCCAGCTAAACTATGATGCCTGAAACATATTTGCCTGGCGTAGCTTCCAATATCGCCCATTAGGGTCTGTACTAGGGATGTCGCGAACCACCCTAGGTTCGATTTCGAAAGGTTTCGATATTTGCGAAGCAAACTGAAGTTCGATTTCGAAAAATTTCGATATTGTCGTACCGACCAAGGTTCGAATTCGAAAAATTCGCAACTTTCGATCACAGTGGAGTTTCTAATTCGGAAAGTTCGAAGCTTTCACAGTTTCTAAAATTTTGGATTTGAATATTTTTTTATTTCAGGCTCGATAAATTTGAATATTTCGAAATTCTTTGGAAATAAAATTCGAAAACTGTGAATTTTTGTAGACATGAAGTTCAAACAATTTGAAGATTTCGAATTTCTTTCTCCATAAAGTTAGAAATGTTTGAAGGTTTCGATTCTCCTTTAACGCTAAATTCGAAAAAAAAAAAAAAAAAACTTCGAAGATTTTGAATGTTTTTCTAGTCCAAGTTTTCAAAGTTCGAAGTCCGGTTTTCAAGTTCCTCCACAGTTGCAGTTTCAAATAATGTTTTCACGACTCACTGGTTTCCACAAAATCAAGTTTAGAAAAGTTAGGGTGTGATGTCTAGACTCTGCGAAGTTGGTCAGGCAATTAAATAAGACAACAAGTGTCCCGGATGTGCTGAAATATTTGCCAGTGCAGAGTGGCGTGTGACCATAAATCAGTAATTGTGACCACCAGCCCCGAGGGGGGGGGGGGGGGGGGGGGGGGGGGGGGGTCTTTAACCGGCATCACGCAGTAGTGATCCCACGAACACACTGTTTTACGAGACTCATCCAGTTCGAAACGGCCAGGGGCGAGCAGGAGGTTGAGGCTCAGAAAAACCTTGAAGCGACCCGGCAAACTACCTCGCCACCCCTTGCACGCTGGTAGTAATCTGATCGAACGCCACCAGAGTGACGCTGGCATATAGTAAGTTAAGTTTGTAATTGTCCTGGAGGTTTATTTTCTGGGACAGAGGAATCGCCTCGCAAAAAGCCGACACAACTCAAGGTCGAGGAGTGTTCTACCATACAAGTGGCGTCCGAAGAGGAAAAACGGGGGGGAAGGGGGGGGGCTTCAGTCCCCCTTCCAGATATTTCGGACTGCTAAAGAAAACAATACGGCGAAAGAGGCCGTGGTCGAGCTTATTTTAATCTGAAATTATTTATGTATATGTATAGCTTCTGTCGCTCTTCACTGCATAAAAGAGCGTAGATGGTCATTGTTAGAAACTCGTTGTCAGAAGGCATTACTTGTCACATGCTTAGTGGTTTGGAAGTTCAAAGCTACATCTTTTCAACCTAAATACCTGTGCCAATAGCAAAAAAAAGAATAAATGCGGGGATAAAAAGCTGGAGAAAAAAAAAACTATAAAGAATTCGCAGGAAGTGTTGTATTCTTGCATATTCAGGGGTTAAAAAAAAAACAAGTTTCTTTTACCAAAATGTGTACAGGCTAAAAGAAACACATCCCAGGAACGTGAAGCGAAGAAAAAAATGTTTTCTTTTAAAGACGTGCTGAACTTGAACACTATTAGAAATCTTCTCCCATGAGTTAATTTATTTTTTAACGTGAAAAAAACAATAAATACATTATTTTGTATTCTGCAGATGGCAATGATATGTACCGTCTGTGGTGTTAAATTTAAATGCGATACCTCAAACAACTTAGACAAAAATAAACACCAAGTTTAGGGCATAATTGCATGTAGATACTTCTTCGAAACTCACGTTGAATAACAATAATCACATCTTAAGACGGCACTTACCTAGGCTATACATAGATCATTCTTAAAAAGCATAACATCTCTACCATAAGTAGCTTCGGCTACAGCGCGCTTCAAATCTGGCACAAACGATAATCGTCAAAAACCTGTTGTCCTTCCTCGCCCCTTCAGGAATTTATTTCTTTAAAACTAAGCATGCCAGAACATTGAAATCAACTGCATTGTCGTTTGTAGGGAACGCAGCACCGCGTGTAAAATTTCGAGAAAAAAAAGAAAAACGAATGTACCTCACTACTTGAATTCAAATGAAACCGTCCGCCGGTCTTTCGAAGTTCGACGAACGTCAAACTTTTACTCTAAAAGTTCGAAGTTCGTCGAACTTCTGACTTTTTAGGATTCTAAAGTTCGAAACTTTTCGAATTATCTTGATAAATAAGTTCGAAAGTTTGAAATTCATCGAACTTTTTTTTTTTCAGTAAAGTTCGGAAGTTTGACATGCATCGAAGTTTGCAGCACAATAAGTTCGAAAGTTCGAAAAAGATAGAACTTTTTAGTGTAATAAGTTTGACGGTTCGAAAAGCGTCGAACTTCTTAGCCTAACAAGTTCGAAAATTCTACTTCCGTCGGATTTTACAATATAGACAATTAGAAAAATCGAAATGTTTCGAACCTTTCGAACCGCTTGATTCGATCATCGAAACTTCGATTAGAAAAAAAGTTTGCGGCATCCCTAGTCTGTACAGGTTTACAAGACAAAAGTTCAATGTTTTTCAAGGACCTTCAAAGCCCCGTAAAGATGAAAAAACAAAAAAACAAAAAAGCATGTTGTACCTGGTTTTAAAATCAACTTCTTTAACGTGCTGCAAGTGTTTTTTTTACTACCCGCTCCTGCACCTTGCACACATTGTTCAGCTTTTATGCCTGCTGGTCAAAGGACCGTTCATTTACACATGGCATCGGTGACTCGTGAGGCTATCCACTGTTGCTTGCATGTTGCCCCAATATTTCATTCCCCAGATATGGCTCTTGGTATCACCTTTTATCACGCAACTGATATCCCTCCCTCATACAGCATCTATGTGGAGCTCCACAAGAAGTGATTTAGCAATGCTGATTGCGCCTAAATTGTATGTAAACACCCAATCGACCACACATTGTATTTCAAATAAACAAAAATCTACATTTTTTTTTTTTTTAACAACACATAAGTAACATTTTGTTCCCAACTTTCCGTTGGTGCATCACATATAATGGTGCATTTTTCTCATAAGAATGCACCTTAGCTATGCAAGATGTAGGCTGTATCAACACTTAAGACAAAGGAGAAACAGCGGAGCAGTCTTAATCGCATTGTGGCATCATAATGGGTCTAGACCTGTCAGATGTAGCTTTTGGGTACTGTGGATTGGCCTTCTCTCATAATGAGCACTCACCAATATTGCGCCCTCCTGAAGAAGCCACGAACGGCATGTCAAAGCAAATCTGCCATAGGGGTTATATTTCTTTCAATTCGTCAAAAACAACACCAATATTTCCAAATTCGACATGCATATATTTTAGGATATGTAGAATGCAACTATCTAGTTTAATTAGAAATTTTTTTCATGAAAAATTTAAACAATTGTCAGACCCGAGAAATTACACTTTTCCTACTTTTAATTAATTTAAGATGAAAGAAGCATTGCGCACATTATTTTTGTGGCTCATTGCGCTCAGTGGTTCGAAAGGAG